TTGCGTTACTCCGATTGGTTTAATCTTGGTTCCTGGAGTGGCCCACGAGTGCGGTCGCTCGACATCACTGCTGCTGCTGCCGCCATGCGCACCACACTTGTCACGCTCCCCCAGTGGCCCTCCACTCTCCGCATGTTGAGGGCCGGACTCGTCGAGCATTGCCCCATGGCGCTGTGGCAGCCCCCTCTCCTCGCTCCCGCCTTCTGGCAATCCCCACCGCTGGTCCTTTTCCTCGAGGCTGCTGCGAAGGGATTCCCTGGGGATCGCAGGCTCTGTTCGGGCGGGGCGAGGGCGGTGAGGCGGTTCCTTGGAGGCTCTGCGGTCCCCAGACCCAAGTGGCAAAGGATTTTCGCTACGGAGTTGCAAGCGGAAGTGCTTTCTCTCCCTCTCGAGGGCCTCCTTGAGCGGCGAGTGTGCTCATGGTTCGTTCCTTCCCTTGCCGAGGGGGAGGTGGACTGGGCTCGCATTCGGGAGAGCTTGCGAGACGTGCCACCATCCTGGCCGCCTATTATGTTGCGCACCTGGCTCGGTGCATGGATCACGGGATGCCGTATGCAGCGCTCACAGCAATGTGTCTTCGGGTGCGATGTCCTCGGGACTGCGACCCACTACATATGCCACTGCCGCCGTCTCCATTACCATGCTGCCATCGTTCTCCGCTCCGACCTCCCCTCTTGCATCCAAGCTCGTCTCGGTCTCAGAGGTGATTTTGTTTTTGTGATTGCTATCATCTGTTTCGCCTGGCCGCGGCCCGTGCAGGGAGGACAGGTCACCCCTGCACCTCGAGGAGGCCGCGGCGCTGCAGGCCCCCGCCCGTCTCGCGCTCCGACTTCCCCTCCGCCACGGCCAGTCAAATTTCCTCGACGCTGGTAAGTTGAGGCGGCGGGTCGTCGAGCTGCGCGAATGGGCATAAGCTGACAGACATCGAGGGGAACGCTGTGCCTCCTCCTCCTCCTCCTCCTTCCATGCTTGCGCCTCGGGCGAGAGCCCCATCTTCAGAAATAGCCCCGCCCTCCATCCGCGCAGCGGTTGCGCGATGCTGCGCTCGTGGCAACCTTTGTCGGGGAGGTCGCAGGCGAGAGCCCCATAATGAACAGGCCTTGCCCTCCGCCTGTGTAACTGGTGGAAGATTTTTCAGGCGACCGCGCGCGGCGCTGAGGCAAGAGAGGAGGAGGAGGAGGAGGAGGAGGAGGAGGAGGAGGAGGAGGAGGAGGAGGAGGAGGAACCACGCTTCGAAAACGAACCGGCGCCGATCTGTGCAACGGTCGAAGATGTTTCAGACGAGGGTGCGCGGCTCGAAAGCGAGAGCCCCCGCTCTGAAGAGGTGCCGCTCCAGCCGTGCGGCTGCTGGAAAGCCTAGCTTCGGTATGGTCAGTTGTGGGGGCGTCCAACGCGAAACGCCTGGCCAGGCCTGCGGGCACGTCTGGTGGCGCCGTGGGGATAAGTTATTTATCAAGGAGAAGGGTTGGTGACGATGATGATGATGATGATGATGATGATGATGATGATGATGATGATGATGGTGATGGTGATGATGATGATGATGATGATGATGGTGATGGTGATGCTGATGATCATTATGCTGCTGCTGCTGTTCATTCTGTCGATGATGCAGGTGATGATGATGACAATGATGATGACGATTATGATGACGATGATGCTGATGATGATGATGCTGATAATGGTGGTGGTGGTCGTGGTAGTGGAAATCATGAATATGATGATGCTGATGATGCTTCTGATGATGATGGTGATGATGAGGTTGATGGTGATGATGCTGCTGGTGATGAGGAGGAGGGTAGGATGAGGATGATGCTGAGGAGGATGAGGAGGATGAGGACGAGGATGCGGATAATGCGGATGAGGATGAGGATGAGGATGATGATGGTGGTGGTGATGATGATTATGGTGATTTTGGTGATTATGGTGGCGAGGAGGAGGAGGATGCTGCAGAAAATTAGTCCTTACAGGTATTCGTGTCACTGCGCGATGCGCCCCGCTTGGAGGACGAGCGCCCCACGGGCCCGCTTTTCGGGATGAGGATGAGGAGGTTGAAGATGATGATGAAGATGATGATGATGCTGATGATGATGTTGATGATGGGGATGATAGTGTTGATGATGATGCTGATGATGATGATGGTGATGAGGAGGAATATGATGCTGCTGATGATGATGTTGTTGATGATGGTGCTGATGTTGGTGAAGCTGATGATGATGCCGATGACGATGATGATGATGCTCATGCAGGTGACGAAGTTGATGATACTTTTGTTATTGTTGATAGTGCTGATGCTGATGATGATGATTGTGATGATTATGTTCATGAGGATGATGATGGTTATGATGGTGATGCTGCTGATGGTGATGCTGATGCTGATGCTGATGATGATGATGATGATGATGATGATGATGATGATGATGATGATGATGATGATGATGATGATGATGATGATGATGATGATGATGATGATGATGATGATGATGATGATGATGATGATGATGATGATGATGATGATGATGATGATGATGATGATGATGATGGTGATGATGAGGAGGAGGAGGAGGAGGAGGAGGAGGAGCGTGAGAAGCAGTTGCAGGAGGATGAGGAGCATGAGGAGGAGCAGGTGGACGAGAAAGAGATGCAGGTGGACAGGCAGGCAGGCAGGACAGGGATGATCAGGAGGAGGAAGAGGAGGAGGATGAGTTGGAGGAGGAGGAGGAGGAGGACGACGACGACGACGAGGAGGAGGAGGAGGATAAGGATGAGGAGGAGGACGGCCAGTGTAATCCCAAGAGCCATCAACGATGTTGGAATGAACCCTCCCTCCAAGCTCCCTCTTCATAGGCCCCTACCACGGTTCATTTCCATTGAGGGAACTGCCTTGTTGAAAGACAACCTCGAAGACCCGGAAGGATGTCAAAACATTGTTCTCATGAGTTCAAGGCCACGGATCAACCTGACAGCTGCGTCTGCACGACCCAGAATCGTACCAGAACGCCATTTAGGGGACTTTCACACTGCGGATCAACATAACTGTTGCGCCCGCATAATCCTGAATCCTTCCAAAACACCATTTCTGGTACGCTGATCATGGGAATCCGTGGAACTCTTCCAAATGTTTACAACGAGTGTGCGCGGCGCTTAGACGAGAGCCACATTTTGAACAGGAACCGCCTTCAGTCTGTGAAACATCTGCAAATGTTTCAAACGGATGTGTGCGGCGCTAAGGCGAGAGTCACAATTTGAAAACCACCGGCCCTCAGTCCGTGAAACCCTTGCAAATTGTTAAAGCGAATGTACGCGGCACTAATGTGACAGCCACATTTTGAAAACGACCCGACCTCAATCCGTGAAACTTGTCCAAATATTTGCAACGAATGTGCGCGGCGCTAAGGCGAGAGCCACATTTTGAAAACGACCCGACCCCAATCCGTGAAGCTCTTCCGGATGTTTAAAACAATATGCGCGGCGCTAAGGCGACAGCCACATTTTGAAAACCACCCGCCCTCCATCTGTGAAGCTGTTGCCACATTTTCAAGCTTCAGAGTCATGGAATGGTGAGAAGTCTGAGGCGAAACGCCCGGCCCGCCCTAAAAATTCGCCTCGGGGTGTGGCAGGGAGAAGTTATTTGTAAGGAAAAAGAATGGAGGAGGAGGAAAAAGGGGATGATGACGATGATGATGATGATGATGATGATGATGATGATGATGATGATGATGATGATGATGATGATGATGATGATGATGCTGATACTGATGCTGATGATGATGATGCTGAAATGCTAATGATGATGATGATGATGACGATGCCGATGATGACGAGGAGGAGGAGGAGGAGGACCAGTGCAATCCCGAGGCTCATCAACAACATTGCAGTAAACCCGCCTCCCAAGTTCCCTCTTCAAAGGGCTCTGCAGGGATTTATTTTCATTGAGGGAAGTGACCCTTGGAAAGCAAAACGTTTGAAAATCCTGAACTGTACCAGAACCCCTTTCCTGGGTGTTCATCGCCGCGAATCGCCGTTACTGTTGCGTCTTGGCGATCGCAAATCGTGCCAGAACGCCGCTTCTGGGATTTCGCCCCGACAGTCCGATACTGTACCAAAACATTATTTTGGGATGTTAACCATGAGAGTCAATGAGTTGGATTTAAGCTCGTAAAACGACTATGCGCGGCGCGAATGCGAAAGCGACATCTTGGAAACGGCCCGCCCTCCACCCGTGAAACAGCTGCAATTGTTTAAGACGAGCGTGCGCGGCGCTAAGGCGAGAGCCACATTTCAAGAGCGGACCGCCCTCCATCCGTATAGCTCTTGCAGATTTTCAAACTGGATGTGTGCGGCGTTGAGGCGAGAGCCACATTCTGAAAACTACCCGCCCTCCACGCGCGAAGCTCTTGCAACTATTTGAGATGAATGCGTGCGGCGCTAAGGCGAGAGCCACGTTTTGAAAACGACCCGCTCTCCTTCCGTGAAGCTGCTGCATTTGTTTTAAACGAGTGTGTGCGGCGCTGGGGCAAGAGCTACATATTGAAAATTGCCCACCCTCCATGCGTGAAACCGTCCAAACTTCAAGCTTCAGGATCAGAAATGGTGAGGACGTCTCAGGCGAAAAGCCGGGCCCGCCCTTTCAACCGGCCTCGGGGTGCGACTGTGAGGAGTCATCTATATGAGAAAAGAGGACAAGGAGGAGGAGGAGGAGGAGGAGGAGGAGGGCGGGCAGGAGGAGGATGAGAAGGAGGAGGAGGATTAGGAGGAGGAGGATTAGGAGGAGGATGAGGAGGAGGAGGAGGGAAGAGGAGGAGGAGAGGGAGGAGGAAGAGGAGGAGGGGGGGCAGGAGGAGGATGAGAAGGAGGAGGAGGATTAGGAGGATGAGGATTAGGAGGAGGAGGAGGAGGAGGAGGAGGAGGAGGGGAGGAGGAGGAGGAGGAGGAGGAGGAGGAGGAAGAGGAGGAGGGGGGGAGGAGGAAGACGCCTGATCCTCCCCCCCTGGGTTGAGGTGCATCTCGGCGCTGCCGGCAAAGCGGCGCCTCCTCATCTCGGGGACTCCGATCCAGAACAACCTGGAGGAGTTCTACACGCTCGCGAGCGTCGCGAACCCAGGCTGGCCACCAGTGGAGAGAGCGAGGAAAGCAGGAGGAGGCGGCAGAAGAGGAGGAGGAGGAGGCGGAGGATGAGAATAAGGATGATGCGGGTTTGTATTTTGATACCTTGTTGGTCTTCCTTTGGGCCCTCGAATTCCTGGTCAGACCGCGCTTCAGGAAAGGCCAGAGTCTGATTGTGACGAGAGGAGGGAGGAGGGAGGAGGAGGAGGAGGAGGAGGAGGATGAGGAGGAGGAGGAGGAGGAGAAGGCAGCAGCAGCAGGAGGAGGAGGAGGAGGAGGAGGGAGGGAGGGAGGGAAGGAGGGAGGCTGGGCGGAGGGAGGGAGGAAGGGAGGGATGGAGTTGATGTGGCGAAGTCAATGCGACACACACACACACACACACACCTCCCCTGAACTCCCTGCGGAACGCGAGTACGAGGACGATCACTGCGAGCACCCGATGGCGAGTCTATGCGTGGACGTTTTACTTCACGAGAAGACACTGCCGAGAACACAACATTTGAAAACAATAAGCCAGACTTCGCTTTGAACAGCTTCACCAACACCACCCTGCAACACATAAGCGAAGATGCCGCCCAACCACCGCTCTGTCACAGAAGTGCGAAAAGGGCAGCCGCGCCTGATCCAGAAGAGACCTTCACCTTCTCCGTTGACTTCTGGGGGTCAGCTCGAGCAGGAGGGTGGAACGTTGGATTGTCTCAAGTTAGTGGGAAGACATGGGCGTCGGAGGAGGAAGAGTCGGATGAGAAGTTGAGTACCAGCCAGTCTAGTCCTCGCTGCTTCCCTCGGCTGCGCACTGTGTGTGATTGACAAGGCATCTTCGGCGATTTCAACGGCTTCCGCCGCAAGTATGCAGCGCCTATCCTGAAGGCATGCGCATTTTGTTCAGATCAGGCGGGATAGAGAGATGAAGGGCTGCGGGAGGATGCATGAGGAGGAGCGATGAGGGAGGGAGGGATAGGGATAGGGAAAGGGAGGAGCTGAAGGAGGAGGATGAGGATGAGGACGAGGAGGAGGAGGAGGCGGGAGGAGGAGAGAGGAGGGAAGAGGCAGGCAGGGAGGGATGAGACGAGAGCCGAGGGCCGAGGGAGGAGGGAGGCAATGATGCGGGAGGGAGGGAGGGAGGGAGGGAGGATGGGGAGGATAGGGGGGAGGGAGGCTGGGGAGGGAGGGAGGGAGGAAAGTCGGACGGGGTAGAGGATGAGTCGAGTGGCTGGGGCCGCGCATGGCGGCTCGGCGGCCCCTCCTCGCGCGGCAGGGCCGGGAGCCCACCGCCACCGCGGAGGAGCGGCTGAGGGCGGAGGATCTGCCACCGCCTGTCGCCGCCTCTCGCTCTTGGTCTCTCTGGCTCTTTGGTCTGCCTCTGGGGAGGGAGGGGGGAGGGAGGGGAAGGGAGGGGAAGGGAGAGCGAGGGAGGGGGAGGGAGGAGGGTCGAGGAGGAGGAGGAGGAGGAGGAGGAGGAGGAGGAGGAGGACTCACGACTCAAGACGTGCCGAGGCCCGTGCGCGGGGGCCAAGTCCGAGAATAGAAGCGATGCGACAGACGACGACGACGGCGACGACAACGAGGTGGCACTACCTCCCAGGCCGCCGAACCGTGCGGCCAGGCTCAGGAGTGGAAGAGCAAGCGCGCTTTCCAGAGAGCGATGAGGAGGAGGAGGAGGAGGAGGAGGAGGAGGAGGAGGAGGAATATGATGATAATGATGGTGATGATGCTGATGTTGTTGCTGATGCTCATGCTGATGCTGATGCTGATGCTGATGATGATGGTGATGATGATGATGATGATGATGATGATGACGAGGATGAGGATGAGGATGACGATGATGATGCTGATGATGCTGATGATGCTGATGATGCTGATGGTGATGATGATCATGCTGGTGATGATGGTGATGACGAAGGTACTGATGATGATGCTGATGATGCTGATGATGAATCTGATGCTGATGACGCTGATGACGCTGATGACCATGACGATGATGATGCTGATGATGATGATGTTGATGATGATGGTGATGCTGCTGATGATGACGACTAGGAGGAGAAGGAGGAGGAACTGTCAAATTTGGAGGCGTAGGACGGATGTTGGTACTTCGGCTGCTGCTGCTGTTGTTGATGATGACCATGATGGTGTTGACGATGCTGATGACGATGATGATGATGCTGATGGTGGTGGTGGTGGTGGCGATGCTGCTGATGATGATGAGGATTATGGTACTGATGATGCTGATGATTATGGTGATGATGATGCTGCGGCTGGTGAAGGTGACTATGATCGTAGTGATGATGCTGATGATTATGTTGAGGATGATGGTGATGATGTCGATGCTGATGGTGATGATGCTGCTGCTGATTCTGATGATGGTGATGGTGATGATGATGCTGATGATGCTGATGATGGTGCTGCTGCTGATGATGGTGCTGATGCTGATGATGTTGATGATGATGGTGATGCTGCCGAATGTACTGCTGGTGATGCTGTTGATGCTGATGGTGGTGACGATTATGATGATGATGATGATGATGATGATGATGATGATGATGATGATGATGATGATGATGATGATGATGATGATGATACTGATGATGATGCTGATGATGATGATGACGCTGATAAGGCTGCTGCTGATGATGATGGTCACAGGGGGTGCGTGCACAGTAATGGCCTAGCAGGGTTTGGGTTGTCGGTCTCATCGGTCCACATTGTTGTTGCTCCGCAGTCATCCAGGCTCTAGAGTTTCTGATACCGCATGCAGTCGGTGATCGGGGTCCTCTTGGCCGCTCTGACCATCATCCCCCGCGAAGCGGCCGAGCGGCAGTGGGCCGCGGGCCCTGCAATTCCCCCTTCGGACTGCGGCTCCTGGGGGTCGCCGCCAGCGCCGTCGCGGGTGGAGGTGGCCTGCGCCGACGCAGTGGTCCAGCCCGACGTGCTAGAGGAGGTGATTCGACGCCTCAAGGCGGAGACGTGCGAGTGCAGGACTGTTGAGTTCGACACAAAGCTGATCGCAGTCACCGCGCTGGCGCTGTGTACGGGTCATGGTTTCATCTTTGTGCTGTTCCTCTTCGGGCGTTGGTCTTGCCCCCTTTTGCGATGGCGCTCGTCGCGGCTCGTCGCCCTCTCCGCCTCGCGGACGCAGGAAGGCTTCTTTCGGTGCAGGAGTTGTCGAGTAGTCTACGGCCAGGTCGGCTGATGGCTATCAAGTATGCCGGAGAGGACCTGTGGCACGAGAGGGTTGCTATGTGTCCTGGGCTTCGCAGCGCTGAGGGCCTCGTCGCTAGCTCGTGGGTCCTCACTCCCGACGGGGATTTCTACGAAGAGGATGTGCCGATGGAGGCGGGCGAGGGCGAGCGGCTGATGCTGCTCGATCTGGCGGGAATTTGCCCTCGCGCCCTGCGAGGGAAGTCCTACAGGTTCGCGGATGGGGCATATCCTGCCGATGACCGTGTCCGACACGAGGCCCAGCAGGCTGCGGCTCGGATGCGGTCAGTGGGACAGGAGCCGCCCGCTCACACGCACTACATGACCGTGGAGGGCCAGCTTGCTCCGCTGCCTGGCTTTGGGCGGCGGCTTCGACGGGGAGGCGGTGGACCTGCTGCCGCATTTGGCGGGGCCGCCACGCCCCCGCTGCCGCTCCCGTCAGAGGCTCCCGCGGCGGAGAGCGAGGGGCCCCCAGAGGCCCGCGACGTGGGGGCGCTTGTCCTGGCTGCGCTGCCCGAGCGCTCCGCTCTTCGTGACGGCCTGGTGTGGCTCATCACCGAGAATGCCGAGGGCCACGAGGCCATAGGCATGGAGGTGACGCCGCGTGCTGGGGGCGTCATCGTGACGTCGACCGACGGGCTCGTTCACATGCACGGCACCTTCTTGCGTGTCCAGGCGGTGGCCAGCAGCGAGCGCGTGGAGTTTGTGAAGGGGCCCCGTGCGCGATGCGGTGGCGCGGCTTCGGCGGCAGGCCCTTCGGCGCTTCGCGCTCGGGCCGCCGACGAGATGCCCGCCCGGGACGACGACGCGCGCATCCTCTGGGTCGACTACGATGAGGTGGGCGAGAGGTTCAAGACCTGGAGGGCGGCCGTCCAAGAAGGCAGGGAGGAGCATCACCGCAGCAGAGGTCCAGGGGCCTCCTGGAGCCCTCCACCTCGCTCGGCACACGGAGCGCTACGAAGGCGACCCGCGACGGTGGTGGCAGGAGTTCGCCCGCGGCAACGGCATCTCGAAGACAGATCGGAGAGCTTCAAGCTGTTCGGCGAGTACGACCAGCTCAACCTTGGCGCGTCGGCGGGCATCGAGAAGATGGTTCGGCGGATGCTGGGCGTGATCGACGCCTACTCCGCAGGCAGCGGGGCCCCTTCGTGGCGCGTGGCGGCCGCGTGCGAGGGCGAGGCCAACTACGGGGGCGCCATCGCGCCAGCTGCGCGCAAGTGGGGCATCAACAAGTTGAAGGATCAGAACGAGATCTAGAGCACTCGGACGCGCCAGCTGCGGCCTGCGGCAGAGGGCGATGGCGCCGAAGGCGGCCACGGCGCCGCCGACGGGGGCCGAGGCCGCAGACGCGGCGACGCAGGTCGGGGCGGGCGGGGCGGCCAGGGCTCCCCTGCCCCGAAGGATGGTTGACTCGGATGACGGGTCGTAGACAGGCCCTCCACGCCGCGGCCCGCTGAAGGTGGAGGATTTTCGGGCGCTGAGGCGCCCTCGCCTCCTCGAGCGGTTCCGCTGGCCCTTCCTCGGCGCGAACCTGTTCCCGCTGCTGGCGGCAGACGTCTCGGGCGCCATCGTGCCCGTGGCCATGTTCGACAGTTAGTGGCTAGTTGGAATGCATTTAATTGGCTTGCGAAAGCCGACGCCCGCCAACCGTCTGACGCCCGAGGGCGACCTGGCTCCGCCGGCTACGACGGCGACGGGCCCTTTTCGGGGGGCGGCGCCCAAGCAGGATGAGAACCTGGTTTGCCTGGAGGCGCTGGCGGAGCTCCGGGCGCGGGTGGGCGCTCGGGACTTCCACAGGCCGCCAGAAGCGGCCCTTCGGGAGTTTCTCTGTGACAAGGCGTCTGGCTACAGGATGGGCGCTTGTTCGACTGCGCTCGCGCCGTGCCAGCGCGGTTGGGCCCCCTTGCTCGAGGGGGGGGCCAGCGCCCCCAACGTCGGAGTTCGTCGGGGACCGTGGCCGACGATACCTGGAGGGCGCAGGAGAGCGCGTGCTGGATCCCGCTGCCAGCAACATGTTCGATGATGGTACTGGGCGATGCTACGTCGACCCCCAGCCCCCCAGCAGCCCGACGGCCTACGCCCGCTTTGTCCGCGACCTGAAGGCTGGGAACACGCTGGTCTTCGGCGCTTGGGCTCGCTAGAAGAGCGGGAAGCTCCGCCTCATTCTCGACGCGAGGCGCGCCAACAGGCGCTTCGCGCCTCCGCCTCGGGTCGACCTCCTGATGGCCGAGGGCCTCGACCGCGTCGTGGTAGAGCTTCCCGACGGACAGGGCTAATATTCCCTCTACTGCGGCACGGCGGATGTTCAGGGCGCTTTTCACAGGATGGGCATGCCGACCTGGCTCTCCCGCTGGCCCGGGCTGCCGCCCGCCCGCGCCGCCGACGTCGGGCCCCAGGAGACCCTCGACGGCCACGTCGGGCCAGACGAGATGGTGATCCCGATGCCTCGGCGCCTGCCCATGGGCTTCTCTTAGAGTCTGTTCCCGGTGCAGGACGTCGACGAGGAGGTCGCCAGCCAGATCCGGGAGCGCGGCGAGCTGCTCCGTGACAGGGGCCAGCCTCTGGTCCCCACCCTGCGCGGTGACGACGCCTCGAAGACGAGGCACTGCATCTACGTGGACAACGTCGGGGTCTTCGGGTCGGACGGCAGCGTCGCGGCGGCCAAGTTGGAGAAGGTCTGCGCGGCCTTCGAGGCGAGGGGCCTCGCCGTGCACGACGTCCGACTCGGGCGTCGAGGCGCTCGGCGCGCTGCTGGGCGGTCGCCGCGGGCGCGCGCGGCTGACGGCGAAGCGCTTCTGGCGCGTGCGAGGCGCTCTTCTGGCCTTGGCCGGGCGGCGCCGCGCCTCTGGGCGGCGGGTGGAGGTCATCGTGGGCCGCGCCACCTTTTGCGGGTTGGTGGGGCGCGAGACGCTGTCGGTGTTTGCGACGGTCTACCCGTTCATCAGGAAGCACTGCGACCAGCCTGTCGCCCTCTGGCCGATGGGGGCCGCCGACCTGAGAGCCTTTGCGGGGCTCGTGGCGCTGCTGGTCTCTAGTTGGGAGCCCGACTGGAACCCGCTGGCGGTGGCCACGGACGCTTCGGAGACGGGCTGCGGCATCTGCTCCCGCTGGTTCGACGCCCGCGGCGTCGCGGCGGGCGACCGCTGCCGCAAGCGCGACCGCTACCTCGCCGCCGACCACGCGTGGGCCCGCGCGGCAGCTCTTGGGGACGGCGTGCCTCCTTCGGAGCCGCTGGGCGTCGAGGGATGCCTGGGCCGCGAAAGGCTACTCGCTGACCCTAGCTTCGCCGAGGTGCCCAAATTCATGACGGAGGAGTCCGAGTGGGCGGTCGTCGGGGGCTGGAGGTTTCGCCAGCCAGAGGACGCCGTGGCCCTGGAGGCCCGCGGCATGCTGCGGGGGCTGGAGAGGGTGAGCCGCGCCAGGTTTGGTCGCAACATTCGCCAGCTTCTTTTTGCAAGTAATTTGGGGCTCGTGCTCGCCGCGGGCAGGTGGCGTTGTCGGAGCTTCCAAATTATCGTCGCTTTGCGCAGGATGGCCGCGCGGTGCCTCGGCCGCAACATCCACCGTTCTGTTCGTTGGATTGCGCCATAAAAGAATCCCGCTGATGCCCCTCCCGTTCGTTTCAGTCAAAGACGAGTGCAGCCGGGAGTTCAGAGGCCGATGTTGGCCGCCCCCATCCCTGCAAGCGCGCCCCCCGCGACGTAAACCAGACCCTTGGAAGGGGCGGGGGGGCCCAGGCACCAAAGGGACCTACAACGCATGTTCTTTCGAAAAGCCCTGTGTAGGCCCCTGTGCGCTCCCGGGTTCCGCCAGTTTGAGCCGCGCCACGTCAATGGCCCTCGAGGCCCCTCAAGTGAAAACGACGAGACGCTATCAGCAGCGCCTCGCCCTGCCCCCGTAGACGTTTCGGCTCGAGCCTCTTTTCATGCAGCCGAGCCCCTTTTACATCGGGTGTCAGAGTTCGAGTGCTAGACCCGTCTCAGCCCCAAGCGGTGCTGGCCTGTGGCCCCGGTCGGAAGCGGCGCCTCCGCGGCTCGCGGGGCCCGCCCGCATCTCGGCGACCGCATTTCCCGAGTGCTAGAGGGCAGCGAAGCGCTCGGCGTCAAAGCCTTGGCCCGCAACGCCAGCCAGCCAGGCCTCTCGGAGGCCGAGGCGCGCCACCTGCCGGAACAGCTGCGGGCCCTGATCAGCTCCGACCCGCATTTCTTAGAGGCCTCGAGCTCCGAGAGCGAGGAGGACAGGCCGCTGGGCCACCTCGCGGCCCCTGCTCAGAGCCGCGTGCCCCGTCGGGCCAGGAAGGGATCCCTCGCGAAGCTGCTGGAGCCGCCCGCGGCCCCCGAGCTGCCCCACTTGACCTTGGGAGAGCACGCCGCGGTGAGGCCGCGCGCCGAAACCCAGTGCGCCCGAGAGGTACACCAGTTCAGCGTCTTCGCCAACATGAGTCGAGTGACCGACATCCCGCTGGAAGCCCTGGATGACCTTTTGGTGCAGTTCATCGACCGACAGATCAGGCAAGGGGTCACGGCTGCGCGATGCATGACGTTGCTGGCAGGCGTGGCGCACGCACAACCGAAGGCAGGGGAGCAGGGCCCCCGCTCGCTACAACGCAGCTGGCGGGCGCTCAAAGGGTGGCAGAACCTGGGTCCTTCAACGTCAAGGCTGCCAGAGGCGTGGCCCATCTGGCGCGCAGTGGTGAATAGGCTCTGCAGCCTACGCCGTTTCGACATGGCCCTGTTCATCTGCCTGACGTGGAGCACGTGCGCGAGGCCGATCCAATCGATGGCCCCCAAGCCCGAGTATCTGCATGCCCCCAGTCGGATTGCGACCTACTGGACCGCCCAACGCAACCCCGAGATCGAGGGCGCCCCCTCGAAGGCCAACGAGTTCGACGTGACTATCGGGCTGGACCACGACTGGCGGGGCGACCTTTCCCCGGCGCTGGAGGCCCTCAAGTCAAGCCCCCCTGGGCAGAGGGCTCGGGCTTTCAGCTATCCCCGGCTCGCGGCCACAGTGCAGAAGGTCTCGCGGGACTTGGGTTTCAACGCGGTGGTGTGCCAGGCCAGGCACAGCGGCGCCAGCTCGGACATGGCCACCCGCAGGCGAACGCTTGCAGAGGTCAAGAAGCGAGGGGGCTGGAAATCCGACCGCTCCGTCGTTCGGCGCGAGAAGGGAGCCCGTCTCGGCGCGACATGGATGGCGCACCCGCCGCGTTCCCGCTCACACGCGGTAGAGTGCGAGGAGAAATTCGTGGAGATGTTGGTGCGCGGCCGCGTGCTGCCAAAGCCCGCTTTGCACTGGTAATGAATGAGCGGCGGCTGTTTGTGCTCGTGATAAGATGCCGCTTCAGCATGCCATCTCCAATTGCCAAGTGCGGTTTCTATGTCAGACTCACTGAAGACGAACATGTCTCACAGTTGCTTTCTTTCAGGCTTCGCGCGGATATGAGGCTCGGAAAGATATGGGCTGTCGCGGCTCCAGTCTTCAATGGCACTCCGTCCACAGGTCTAGTGCGCGTGATGTCAGAGGCGGCCAGATTAGGGCTGTCATCAGTGATCAGTTCTTGTAGTTCCGACAGTGCTCGTGTAGCAGCGCGATTTCCGACCATGCAGTGTACGCAGCACGTTTCGCACATGTGTAGGTACCGTGGTGCATCCAGACTCAACGTCAGTTCTCTGGTCTGTAATATCTTGTCTGCCGACACCAACCGCCTCGGGCTTCGGCGCCCTGGCGTTAGATCCAGAGACGGCCATAGGACACATATCCCCCGCCCGCGCTTGTGTGAACTGGCGCCCCATAGTTTCCAGGAGGCTGTAGTTTTCACCGTTTTAAGCCCGCTTCGGGCTCGATGCCTTTCTGTGTGAACAGCTTCTGTTTGGGGGATCTGTTTTGGGCGTGGTTTGAGCGAGAGGCGGTCAGGATGTCCGCGTCCCGCCCTCGGATCCGAGTCGCTTTGACGAGCGAGCTTAGTAGAGAGAGCACTACCCCGCTAAAAACCAAGGGTGCGTCATGGGGTGCGGGCAAAGTAATGCCTTAGCAGGGTTGTCTTGTCGGTCCCATCCATCCACATTGTTGTTGCTCCGCAGTCATCCAGGCGCCCCTCCCTTTCGAGCCGCCTCGGCTCGTCCGCCCTTTTTCTCTTCTTCGCCTGGGTGTGGTTTCAGCGAGAGGCGGAAGGATGTCCGCCTCTCGCCCTCGGATCCGAGTCGCGTTGGCCAGCGAGCGTCGTAGAGAGAACAGTTCCCCGCTAAAAGCAAAGGGTAAGTCATGATCATGATGCTGATGATGATGATGATGATGATGATGATGATGATGATGATGATGATGATGATGATGACGCTGCTGATGATGATGGTGATGCTGCTGATGATGACGATGATGACTAGGAGGGGGAAGAGGAAGAGGAACTAGCGAAGTTGGAGGCGCAGGACGGATGCTGCTGCTGCTGGTGTTGCTGCTGTTGTCGCTGCTGATAACCATGATTGTGTTGATGCTGATGGTGCTGATGATTATGGTGATGATGCGGCTGGGGCTAATGGAGGTGACTATGATGGTAATGCTGTTGAGGATGATGATGATGATGATGATGATGATGATGATGCTGCTGCTGTTTATGATTATGGTGATGACGATGATGCTGATGATGGTGCTGGTGCTGATGATGATGGTGGTGCGGGTGATGATGATGGTGATGACGAAGGTAATGGTGAATATGATGATGCTGATGCCGGTGCTGATGATGATGATACTGATGATGGTGGTGATGACGAAGGTACAACTGATGATGCTGATGATATTGACGGTGATGATGGTGACGATGACGATGATGCTGATGGTAACGATGATGCTGCTGCTGATGATGATGACGGTGATGTTGATGATGATGACGACGATGACGATGACGATGCTGCTGATGAGGATGATGATAATGGTGATGAGGAGGAGGAGAAGGAGGAGCGAGGAGGAGAAGCGAGGAGAAGAAGAGCGAGAAGGAGGAATCTGATGATGATGGTGATGATGCTGGCACTGATGCGGTTGCTGATGCTGATGCGGATGTTGATGTTGATGCTGCTGATGATGATGATGATGGTGACGAGGATGATGATGCTGATGATGATGATCATGCTGATGATGATGGTGGTGACGAAGGTACTGATGATGCTGGTGATGATGCTGATGATGCTGATGCTGATGGCGATGCTGATGATGCTGATGATGCTGATGATGACGACGATGATGCTGCTGATGATGATGGTGATGCTGCTGACGATGAGGGGGAGGAGGAGGAGAAGGAGGAGGAACTGGCGAGGTTGGAGGCGTAGGACGGATGTTGGTACTTCGGTTGCTGCTGTCGCTGCTGATGACCATGATAGTGTTGACGATGATGATGATGATGATGATGATGATGATGATGATGATGATGATGATGATGATGATGATGATGATTATGATGATGTTGCTGATGATGATGACGATGCTGATGGTGGTGGTAGTGGCGGTGCTGCTGCTGATGATGATGATATTGAGGATGCTGCTGCTGCTGATGATGATGATGCTGATGAGTATGGTGATGATGATGCTGAGGCTGATGAAGATGACTATGCTGGTGATGATGATGGGGATGATGTTGAGAATGATAGTACTGTTGATGATAATGGTGGTGATGATGATGATGCTGCTGTTTATGATGATGGTGATGATGTTGATGATGCGGATGATCGTGATGATGTTGATGATGGTGCTGCTGATGATAATGATGATCATGATCATGATACTGATCATGATCATGATTATGCTGGTGGTGCTGATGATGATGCTGATGCTGATGATGGTGGTGATTGCGAGGGTACTGATGATGATGTTGATCATGATGATGATGCTGATGATGCTGATGATGATGCTGATGGTGATGAAGGTGATGATGATCATGATCATGATGATGATCATGATGATGTTGCTGGTGATGATGATGATGGTGATGCTGATGATGATGCGCTTGCTGATGATAATGATGATGATGACGATGATGATGACGATGATGATGATGATGATGATGATGACTAGGAGGAGAAAGTGGAGGAGGAACTGGCGAAGTTGGAGGCGTCGGACGGATGCTGCTACTGCGGCTGCTGCTGCTGCTGCTGGTAACCATGATGGTGTTGATGATGATGATGATGATGATGCTTATGACATTGCGGATGATGATGGGTATGATGATGGTGGTGCCGCTACTGATGATGATGATGCTGAGGCTGATGAAAGTGATGCTGAGGATGATGATGCTGACGATACTGCTGATGGTGTTGATGATGATGATGTTGATGATGATGCTGATGGTGCTAAGTATGATACTGATGATAATGCTGATGATGATGCTGCTGATGATGATGATCATGCTGATGATGATGATGATGATGATGACGATGGTGCTGCTGATGATGGTGTTGATGTTGATGATGATGCTGACGATGATAATAATGATGATTATGCTGACGACGATGATGATGATGATCATGTTGTTGATGATGATGGTGCTGATGATGATGATGATGATGATGATGATTAGCATCATACTGCTGCTGCTGATGCTGCTGATGATGATGATGGTAATGCTGCTGCTAATGGTGATGATGATGATGATGCTGATGTTGCTTATGTCCATGATGATGATGATGATGATGACGCTGCTGATGATGATGATGAGGATGATGATAATGATGACGGTGACGCTGATGATGATGATGATGATGATCCTGATGATGGCGATGATGATGACGTTGATCATGCTGATGAAGGCGACGATGACGACCATAGTGACGATGATGGTGGCGACGGCGACGACGATGATGATGAGGATGATGATGATGACGATGATGGTGATGGTGGTGGTCATGATGATTACGATGATAATGGTGATGACGATGATGATGATGATGCTAATGATGATTGACGAAGGCGATGATGATGCTGGTGATGATGATGACGATGATGAGTATAGTCATGCTGCTTCTGATGATGGCTATGAACACGATGATGATGATGATGATGATGATGATGATGATGATGATGATGATGATGACGAGGATGATGATGATGATGATGATGATGATGATGATGATGATGATGAGGCTTATGACGTTGCCGATGATGATGGTTCTGGCGGTTGTGACCGTGGTCGTGTTGATAATGATAATAATGATATTGATGATGATGATGATGGTGTTGATTGTGGTGATGGTGTTGATGGTGAATGATGCTGGTGGTGGGGACGCTGCTGCTGCTGATGATTACGTTGGTGATGTCGATGAAGAGTATGTTGATGATGGTGGTGGTAGTCAGGATGATGATGATGATGATGATGCTGCTGATGATGATGTTGACGACGATGCTGATAGTGATGGCGATGGTGATAGTGGTGATTATGATGATGATGATGATGATGATGATGATGATGATGATGATGATGATGATGATGGTGGTGGTTCTGTCTAGGAGGTTGGTAATTCTGAGATCCATGATGGTGACGACGATGAGGATTTGATGATAATGGTAATGGTGGTGGTGGTCTCAGCTCTTGCGAGCACGTCGGAGGTGTTTTCTTTGGCGTGACCACGTCCGTGCCCGCGACAGCAAACCCCATCCTCCTGCCATACACACAAGCGACAACTTGCCGAGGTCCGTGCGAATTTCTTGGATCGGTGCTGAACCCCCTGCCCCGACGCGCGGGAGCGGCGCCGAAGGCGCCGCCGCTGGAGGGCTCAGCGCAGATCGAAGCAATTCGCGCGGAACTCCGAAGGTTTATGTTCATGCAGTTTTTCCCCAATACGGTCAGCCCGCATAGCAAGGATCGGCAACTCTCCCAAGGGTACCCCTTGCATCCTGGCCTCCTCGGTCCATCCCTGGCCGCTTTCGTTGGCCGCGCCCCGCTCGCAGAGTGTCGACATGGCCTTCCAAGCCCCTTGCATCCTTACAGTCAACGCGCCTAGTAAGGACGCGCGCCTTCATCTAGGGTGCCCTTGTATCCTTGCCTCTGCGGCCCGTCCTTTTGCGTTCTCACTGGTCGCCCTCCGCCCAACAAATCCCAACTTCGGTCTCCCAGCGTCTTGCGTCCTTACCACTCGTCCTTCATACACGTTTTGACTGTATCTTCCACCCTTCTGATACGGGCTGGCAGCATCGCTTCGCTAGGCCGAAGAGTCCCACGGGCGGGACGCGGGGGCCCCAGACCGCCCGGTCTGGCGGCCGTTTCGCCTCGGACTTCCGCACGGTGTATTCGGGAAGCGTGCTCTCGCCCCAAAGCTGGCTACATGTTTTGCCCAGACGGCCACGATCCCCTGAGGGGCTCGCTACGCCTGCCCCCTCTTTCGGCCGCGTCCTCCTCCTGCTCCCCCTCTTGCATGGTGGCACACTTTGCCCTGACGGCACCCCCGTGTAGGCCCTTCCGCCAGCGCAGACTTCCCTTGCCTCGCCGCCGACGCAGGAGTGTTTTGTCCAGACGGCCACGACCCCCTGCGCAACATGAACTGCAGGTGCACACGGCCGTGCTTTCGCCCCTGTCCCGCCTGTCAGCGTCCCCAGGAATCCCCAGGAATGCCTGCGACTGCACGTTCTCATTCGTCGACCCCTCCTCCTCGACCCGCCTCTTCACCTTTGTTGCATTGCTGCCTTTTGTTGGGTGCTTTGCTGGGGTGCTTGGTTCTTCGACCTCCTCCTCCGCCTCCCCCACTCCTCCCAGAGGAGACGCTCGCGAGTGTCTCGGAGATGACCGAGCAGTTCATCCTGCGGCGTACCAACAAGCTGAACGCCAAGTACCTTCCGGCGACTGCCCCCCCCCCCTGGCGCCCCGCGCGGATGACGGCATGGGGAGCGGCTGCGGACGGGAAGAATCGGGCACAGCCCAGGGGGTCACCACTGATCAGGGAGGCTACGGACTCACCACAAGAATCGAGGATCGAAGATGAGGAGACAGAGAGGATCGAAGCTCGAGAAGGTTCTGGACTCTCTTGGGCGTCTCGGGGAGTCCCGGGAGATCCCCGGGGGGGCCAGCGGTCAGTTGCCTGGGGGGACCGGGGGGGGGGACGACTCGGGATGAGAAGCTGCAGTCCCAGGGGAAGGCGCCAGGGCCCGAGACCAGGCTCCACCATGACCCGCCTGGCTCCATGCCAAAGCAGGCCGAGGACGGGGGGGGGGGGGCAGAGGGACCCTTTACCCCTCCCATCCACGCAGCCCTCACCGTGGCATTGGGGTCCCTGTCTGTTCGCCAAGTTGGGCGCTGGATCGGGCCTTGATCGCCAGCCGTTGTCTGCAGTGCCTGGCCCATCGTCTGCTGCACAGGAGAGACGGGACGATATGGGCCCAGGCAATGCTCGCAGTGAGCTCGGGCGGACGGAAGACGCACACAGTCGAGCAGCGCCATGCAAGAAAGAGGCATGAGGGCGAGGAGGAGGAGGAGGAGGGGGAAGAGGAGGAGGAGGAGGAAGAGGAGGAAGAGGAGGAGGAGGAAGAGGAGGAGGAGGACGACGAAAAGGGATGAGGACCATGAGGAGGAGGAGGAGGAGGAGGAGGAGGAGGAGGAGGAGGAGGAGGTACGGTGGGGCGTTGGTTGAGGACTGTGCTCAGGAGGCTTCAGACCCTGGAGGATTTCTGATCTGATGAGGGCAGCGGTAATATCCGGCCACTCCACGATTGGAAATCCACCGGCTTCCAGACCCTGGATTTCTTGTCCAATGGTTCCTTACCCAATGCCCTCGCCGTAGGAGGATGCAGGAGGAGAAGGAGGAGGAGGAGGAGGAAAAGGAGGAGGAGGAGGAGGAGGACGACGACGACGAAGACGATGACGACGAAGACGATGACGACGACGACGACGCCGACGCTGACAACGACAAAGGGGGAGGCAGGAGGATGGAGGAGGAAATGTAAGTGGGTGGGGCCAAGGGACAGCCCAGCGGGGCGCTCCACTTGAGCACCCCCTTCCTGCGACCCACCCCTGGCCTCTCCCTCTCAAGCTTTTTCGCTACCCCTCCGCCTCACCCTTTGCCCTCCTCTTTCCCATCCAGGTTCGCGAATCGAGGTTCGGGGATCAAGGGCAAACGTTTCTTATGGGAGAATAATCCCGGGGAGGCTTGTCCAAGAGGGGCTGTCCCGTGGGGTTGTCCAGATCCCCGCTGGGTTGTCCAAGGGGCTGTCTGGGGTGGGTCGTTTTTGTCATCATTAATCAGCATGGGTTGGCCGGGTTGTCCGAGGGGTTGTCCGGGGATTCGTTTGACCGGACTCTGTTTCATGGAACATACGTTCTCCGTTCGGTTCGAGCCTGCAGAGGCCTTCTAAGGCCCCCATGGGGGAATCCCTCCCCCCACTCGGCGGCGTGGCCTTCCGAGAAAGGCTTCCCCAGGGGCCTCTCGGGAGATGTTCCGGGGGGCATGGCCCAGGCCGAACTAAGCGCAATAGTCGATCCGCAGGACAAGCCTGGGAAAGTGTGGGGAATGGAGGACAAGTCGAAGCTCCAGAAAATCTGGCGAAAGATCTCGGGACTCCTGGGGTTTGTGCTCATCTGGTCCATCTTGTGTGCCCCGGGGCGCGGCCTCGGGGGCGGCCCTCGCCGGCCCCCATGGGAAGTGGTCCGGACCTCGGGGGCCCACGCGTGGAAGAAGTTGGAGCGGCCAGAGGTCTGGGAAGTCCTCCCGCCGATATGGGCAAGCAAGAGGAACCCTTGGCAGCACGCCCCCCTCCCCCCCATTTCAAGAGTTGGCCTCAAGCATTCGGCAGCACAGGCGGGAGAGGACAAAAACAAGTGGAGCCCCCAGGGCCTCCAGGAGGCCGAAGCCGACCTCGAAATTGGGGAACGGGGGGGGGGGGGGGCGAACGCGGGGTCGAAGACGAATAGGGTCCACTTTTTTGTCCCCTCACCGTCCCCCCCCTTCGCCCAGCCCCTGCTTGTGCGCGTGCGCCACCGGCCGTCCTCCCGCGGCCGGGGCCGCCGAGGCAGGGGGCGCTTTTTGGCTTCGCAGTGGGCCCGGCAGGGAGGAAGTGCAGGACTTCGGGATGCGCTGAGGTGCTCTTCGGGTTAAGTCGGGCCTGTCCCTCGACAAGGGGACGATTCCAAAATAGTCAAATAAAAAAGAGCTGGGGACGATTCTTCTACTATTTTTGATCCTTTTGGGGTATTCTTTGGCTATCTTTTATTTTTCGTCCAAGATCCGCCTGTAGGGGTGGCAGGCCCGACCCAAGGGATGCGCTGAGGTGCTCTTCGGGGGGTCCCGCTGTTGCCGCTGGCAGAGAGCCCCATGGTCCAGCCCGGGGAGGAACTCCTGGCGTGTGGGAGGTGGGCAGAGCCCCCGCCGTGCCAAGGCTATCCTCGACTTGCCTGAGGTCGGCCCTGTCCCCCTGCAGGGGGATCTTGCGCGAAAAATGAAAAAGATTCCAAACATATCCCTTAAAATTATCCCTAATAGTTTAAAACATGTCCCCATAGCATTTTTCGACTACTTTTGAGTATTCCTCCTGTAGAGGGACAGGCCCGACTTAAGACGTGCCCTTTCTCGCCTCTCGAGAGGCAGCCTGGGGAGGAGCGAGCCTCGCTATCGGGCCCGTCGTCGGAGGCTGACAGGGAGCCCCCTCCCTGCCAAGTCGATTCTCGACTTGCCCTGTCTCGCCTCTCGCGAGGGCGTCGCGGCCGCACCCTTCTGAGGGCCTGCGCACGCCAGGTCGGGTCCCAGGTCGATGTTACATAAAGCTGTTATGCTAAGACGGTGCGGTCGGGAACTTTCGCTTCACGTGTCGCGCCACCAGTTCTGGCACACCAAGCCGCGGCGCGACACGGTACGTAGCCGCGCCCAGTCTTCAAAAGCATCCACGTCCAGAGCTTTTCTCATCCCCTCGCCTCGCGGAGCGGGGCGGCACGCTGTCCGCTTGCAGGGCAGGGCTTATCGCCACCGCCCCCACCGCGATACGCTGAGCAGCAGTTCCGAGGTGATCGTTTTCTAATTCACTGTTTTGCCGATCGGCGCGGGCCCTCGCCCCCCCCCCTCCCATGGAGGAGATCTTTGCTGGTTTTGGCGCCTGTTTCGAGCAGGTGGAACCTCCCCTCCCCCATAGGACGCACTGTTGCAAACAGTGGCGTTAGGCAGAGGTCTGGAGCCAAGCCCCCGCCTCCCCCCCTTTCGCTCAATGTCAAGACGCCGAATAACAAAAACGCTCACAACTCAGAGCCCGCAGCGCCGCCATTCGAAGAAGACAAAACTGCATTAGCATAAGCTTTACGAGCTCCGCGCTGATTTCTTGGATTTGCGCTGGGCTCCCCCAGAGGCGCCTCCGGCGCCGCCCCTGGCGCGCCCTGCGCGCAGGGGAGGGGGGTCCAGCGTCAAGCCACGAAATCCGCGCGGAGCTCCGACAGTTTACGCTTCTTCTTGAGCGCTTCCTTCCTGCAGTCATGGCGGGAACCTGCCGTGCCCCGAAGGCATTCTCCGCGCCGCGCCGTCCCGGATCCCCGGGCCCCGCCCGCCGGAAGCGAGCCAGGGCCCCCGAGCCCCGTCCACGAGGGAACCCTTCTGACGTGACGGAGGCGAACGCCAACCCTGCGCCGCAGGAAGGCTCGCGCCAGAGACTGCGCCGTGGATCCCTCGACCAGGGCGGCCCGAAGCCTGGACTGAGGCGGGGTGAAGAGGTTCGCGCCTCGCGCATCGCGCGGCTTCGGGCTGGGGAGGCGGAGGCGCCCTCCCCCAGAGCGGCGGCGCGAGGGCGCGACGAGAATGCGCGCGTCGCGCCCTCGCGGGGAGCGATGCGCGAAGTTTGGCGACCTCGGAAGCTGCTGCCGCGGCCTCCGCGGCCGAGCATCTGCCGCGGCCCCGCTCATGTCCAGATCGTCCTGCTCTCGCTTCTTGCTCGCGCCGGCCATCGCTTCGCGCATCGCGTGGCAGCCTCTTCCCGAGCGGCGGCGTGCGTCGCCTCCGACCACGCCCGAAGGCGTGAGCGCAGGGATCCTCGCGTGCCCAGGCGAAGCAGCTCTACAATGTTTTCGTGCTGCCGACCGCCTTCCAGCGCAGGCTCTATCACAAGTTCCTGAGGTCGACCGAGGCGCGCAACGTGCTGGAGGGGAACGCGACCTGGGCGTGCTCGAGCGGCGCTGGAGCGTCGGCGTGTCCTCGTCCTCCTCGTGCTCCTCCTTGTCGTGCTGCTCGTGCGCAACCTTCTCGTCCTCTGTGTCCTATTTCTGCTCATCTCTCTCTCTCTCTCTTTCTCTCTTTCTACCTCTCTCTCTCTCTCTCTCCTCCTCTCCCTCCTGCCCCCGTCGGTATCGTCGTCGTCCTCCTCTTTCCCTCCCTCCTGATCCTCACCCTTATCCAGTCCCTGCCATCCTCCTTCTCCCTCCCTCACCCCCCGATTATTGTTCTTGCCCCCCCCGCTCCTCCCCCTCCTGAAACAGTGGCGATATCCACGATTCGGCGATTTCAGAACTCCAGGTTCACTGCGCGGACACTGTCGCACAAGCTACCCGCATAGGGCCGCACGTGAGCACCTCCTCTGTCACGTGGCGCGGCGCGCTGGTGGTCTGAGTAAGCCGCCGTGTTCGTTTCCAGCTCATGAGCTCCCGCTGGTGCATGGCATCGGTTCTTGCTGGCCTTCTGGGGGACGGATGGTTCACACGCTTCTCCTCTGGAATTGGATCCGTTGCGTTCTTCTGTTGCTGGCTGCTGCTCTGGTCGGGATGCATTCGCATGTGGCATCGCCACAGCATTTATGCGCGAGCGAGATCGGCGAGAGAGAGAGAGAGAGAAGAAGAGCAAGTGTGAGCGCGCGTGTGTGTGTGTGTGATTGTGTGGTTTGCGTGTGCGTGTGAGTTTGTTTACGCATGTGCGTGCACGCACTGGTGCACCCGAGCGCATTTGTTCTGCTCTCAACGACCTGGCCAGTTCGGTGAGTGTGTGTGTATGCATGTCTGTGTGAGAGAGAGGGTAAGGGTACGTACGTGCTCGTGCGCGCTTGTGTGTTTGCGTGAACTTGGGGGCACGGAGAGTATGGAGCCTAGCCCACTGCGGCGCAACACCCGAGCCAGGTGACCCTCAACCGGACTGTTCTTTGCACCATCAAGAAGCTCATGAGCCTAGTCAATCATCCTTTCCTGGTTCGATCGGCCACGCAGCGGCTAGACAAGGGGTTCGACGATGAGGAGACTCGAGCGATGTTTGCGCAGGCGGCTTGGTAGGCGTAGCATGGGGATGGGTTGGCACAGGAGCTTCAACTGGGGGTGCACGTGGCGGCCCTCGGCCCTCACGCACTTGCTTTGTCGCCCTCTTCAGCCACGGAGCCTCGGGCGAGGATTGCTTGCCATCCTGTCTTCTCCAGGTGGTTTCAAGTGATCTGTTCGGCCTGCGATTGGGGGCTCGCCCATGTGACCGACGTGACTTCAATAGTTTTTCAGACGGTTGGGTGGCAAGTTGGGCACGTGCGCCAAGCGTTCTCAAATCATCCCTGAGGTGGACGAGCTCGACCGCGGCGTCCGGACGCAGCAGAAGTCGGTGCACCAGGAGCTGTCTGGGAAGCTCTCTCTCTTGCACGCTCTGCTCGCCGCTCCCTCAGATGCGCATGTCAACTGTGCCAGGGATGCAGTTCAATATTACTTATTCTGAAGTTGTTAAGGCTCCGGGCTTCACACGGACAGCTCCCCGAGGTATTCTTGGCTGGCCTCAAGAGGCCCCCCGAGTAGTCCCAGCTGGCCTCAACAGGCCTCCCGAGTAGTCCAGGGCGGTCTTAACACCTTTCGCCGCCTCCGGCGGCGCCCCTGGGGCGCTCCGCGTCACCAGGTTGATGTGTTGAGACCGCCCTGGACTACTCAGGGGGGGCCTGTTGAGGCCAGCCGGGACTGCTCGGGGAGCCTGTTGAGGCCAGCCGGGACTTCCTAGGGGTGCTGTCTGTGGGCAACCTGAAGCCTTACCATCTGAAGGGCGTCGCTCCCTGCCGCCAGTCTCCTCCTTTGATCGCCCGCGTGGCCGGGTTGGGTTTGCTGGCTGGCCGATTGGCCAATCGGTTGGCAGGTTGTCAACTCGGCTGCTGGATGGATGGCTGTTCTTTTGGTGAGTTCAGAGCCCAGGTCCAAGCTTCCTACAAGGGGTCATGGCCTCGGGAGTGCGACCCCATTGTTTTTTCCACTCGGCACTGTGGCCTTCGGAGCGGGGGCAAGTTTTTGTTGGAAGGATCGTGGCCTTGGCAGCGCGAATACATGAAATGTATGTTCGGTATCGAATGGCCTTCGGCCCACCCAGCCGCCGTGCCTGGGTCGTGCACAAGGGACCTCTTGGAGGCCTGTTGGGTCTCTTAGGACGCGTCTGGGGGCTTCTCGGATGCCTGCTGGAGGTCTCTTGATGGCCTCTCGGAGGTCCCATGGGGTCTCTTTGGGGCGTCTGGGGGGTTGGGGGGGACATCTTGCAGGCCTTTAGCCAGTCTCGGGGACCATCTTTGGTTGAAGGGCTCGACATCTAAGTTCGGTTTCCCCGTTCTGGGTCCCGCTGGGGACATCTCTGGGGCATCTTGAGCCCTCTTGGGGCCGCGGGGGCCGCCTCGGGCGGTCTTGGGGGTCCCTTGGGCCTTTTCTGGATGCTATTAAGTTAAGATTTGGAAGCCGATAATGTTGAATTTTGTATGATGTTAGATATCGGATTAGGCTACAATTTGGAAACCGGTCCTGTGAAATGACGTTGAATGGGTTTTCGATGGAAACCGGTCCTGTGAAATGACGTTTGATTGGCCCCGAGGCCCGAGGTCGCCGCGACGGCCCAAGTGGCGTCCAAGAGGGGCTCCAGGACCGGCCCTCGGACCATCTTCTGCCCCCCTGCTATGCTGGAGTAGAGAAGCGTCGACTCCCGACCGCGCTCCCGAGGCTTCTCGAGAAGTCGCACGGGGATCCTCGGAGACGCCGAGAGATTCCGAGGCCTCGGGCTTCCGAGCACGGCCACGAGCATCTAAACAATGGCACGAGCTCGCAAGCCTGAGGACACTGAACTGTTCGTGCCTGCCAGCGCAGTGGCGGATCAGGATTGGGGGCCTCGGCGGGAGCGCAGACGCATGGTTGTTGTCGAATGATCATGGCCTCAGGAATGCGGATCCAGAGAGTAGTCTTTAAGATCAGGGATCGTGGCTTCGGGAACGCTGGTTCGTCTACAAGGGAGGATGGCCTTGGGAGCGCGGACCAACTTGTTTTTACAAGGGATCCTCCTGCCCTGGGAGCGCAGACCACTTGTTTTGGGAGGGATCTTGGCCTCAGGGGTGCTGGCCAACCGGTTTCTTTTACACGGGATCCTGGCGTCGGGATCGCGCATCCGTTGTCTTGTGCAAAAGATACTGGCTTCAAGGGCGTGGGCATTTTTTACCCGGGATCGTCTTGTCGAGAGGTGTCGTGGCCCTGGGTGCACCCATTATTTTCTACACGGGACCCCAGCCCATAGCCAAGGAAGCGCGGGCTAATAGTTTGTTTGAGGGATCGTGGAGGCGGTTCCATTGTAGCTGTATGTGTCCCATCATTGCCCAGAGATTGACGGAATACACTTCGGGGCTGGTTAAATGTTGTTTCCAAGCCCAGTGGGATCGCGCGTGGTTGGAAGCTTAGATTCATAGGTAAATGAGAAACTGAATCCAGAGAGCATTTTTCTACACACTACATTTCTCAGAGGAAACACGTCGAGCCTTATCGTGATCGTCCACTTCCTCCGCATCCTCCTGCTGCTCCTAGTCCTCCTTCTCCTCTACTTCCTCCTCCCGTTCATATCCCTCTTCCTCCCCCCCACCGCCTCCCCCTTCCTCTTGCCCTCGTCGTCGCCGCCGTCGCCCGCGTCGAGTCCTCACGACGGGATGATTTGGGCTATCGCCAAGGGGCGAGTGAACTCACAATTGGCCCAAGCGCACAAGGTGCGAAAAATCAGGTGTGGTGCCAAATTTTCAGCGCCATGAGCGAATATATTTGGCCACTGACCCGAACCTGAACCGAGAGATTGCTGTCGTCGTCGGGGGTGCGTTAGCTGATCTTCGCCCTGAGGCCCAGCACGTCTTCGTTGTCCTCGTCGCCGCCGTCGTCTCCTTGTCGCCCCTCTCCGGACGCCCTCGCCGTCGTCCTCCTAGTTCGCGTGCCTTGCTTCCGTTAGGCGTCGCCGCCGCGCGTCCTGTATTACAGTCGGTCTACGCTGGATGTGTTCTTAGATTCAGTGTCTCCCGTCGTCAGTCGATCCAGGAAATGTCGATTTTGAGATTCAGTGGCCAAGAACCTCCTTACTACTGAACGGCCATGTGCTTCTGATGCCAGGTGAGTGATCTCAGGCGACGTGGTGGCCACATGTGGAAGCCCGTAAGAACACAGCCGAGTTAGTAGTTGTCTAGCTGCACCGATAAAAGCTTAGTTTCTCAGTTCAAGAAGCAGCAACGGCGTAGCTCAGAGGCTCCAACCAGGGGGGCCAGCGGATTTAGATAAATGTGGGAAGGAGCGTTGCGCAGTCCGATCGTTTTGGGCCCGAGGCGTCTCTGGAGGCAAGGTTCTGCACTGTTTCTGATCGTGGTTTCCGATCGTGCCTGGCAGGAAGTAAATGCTTCTGGTGTGGATTCACGAGAGGTTTCGTTGCTTTTTCGCCACTCGAACAAAGAAGCACCCGCACGTATACGGTGCCCCGAGGTCAACATCAAAGCATCTGGCAGTGGGGATCGTGTGGTGGTCATCTCGAACTGGGTCCAGACGCTTGACCTGATCGAGAAGATGTGCGAACACAACAAGTGGCCAGTGCACCGCCTGGACGGCAAGGCGGCGATCGGGAAGCGAATGAAGCTGGTGACGGACTTCAACCGGCCTGACCACAGGGAGCCGAGGGGACAATAGCCACTGATCACTCTTTTCCTCCCTTCTCTCCCTTCCCTCCCTCCCTCCCTGCCTCCTCCCCCTCCCTTCCATTCCCCACCCCTCCCTTCCCCCTCTCACCTCCCCTCCCCCTTCCCTTCTCCCCTCTGCTCACAGCCTGCACTCCCCGTCCCCGTGCCCTCCCCCCTTCCTTCCATCCTCCTCCTCCTCCCTCCCTTCTCTCCCCTCCCCCCCCCTCCCTCCCTCCCTCCCCCGCTCCCTCCCCCCCTCCCTCCCTCCCCCCCTCCCTCCCCCCCAGGGGCCGTGCCACTCGAGCCCACAGAGGATTTTAGGACGTCGCTCCGAACGAATGTGCAGGGTAACGTTCCCGCGACGGCACGCGGGACCAGTCTACTTTACACATTTCCCCCCCCACAGACCCCAGATGATACAACCTGACAGTATGTGTATCCTACCGTGGTCTTCGCTGAGGCGCTGGAGGAAAATTCAAACCTGATGGTGTTGTCCTAACCCAGTTTCGAAGCCCACATGCCGCCACGCGAGCTTTGAGCATTGCACTAACCAATAGCAATAGTATCGACAGGGTCGATCTTTCCATCGCATCCGTGCATGTGCTGCCCCATAGCACTTCCCGAGCCAGGCGACCCAGGGAGAACGCACTGGGGAAAGAAATGCACGACGGGGAGCACTGCCAGTAAGGCGCAGGCAACACAGGCACACAAGCAGGAAGGCGCAGGCGTGCTCGGGACATCTTGAGCATCTTGGTGCTAGCGCAGAGGCTGCGGGCATTGTGGATCGTCGGCGCAGGCAGTGCGAGCACTGTTGCCCAGGTGCCGCACTCACGTCAAAAACGTGACGCGGTGGTGCTCGGGGCATCTTGGCGTTTGCGCGGTCACTGTGGGCACTGTCACATGCTGGCGGGGGCACTGCGAATAGGAAAGCGCAGGCACCCCACGCACGCAAACCGTGAGGCGCATGCGCCGCGAGCATTGCCCTTTTATCACGGTGTGCCCTTTTATCACGGTGTGTTCGCGACGGGCGCATCGCTGCGCACTCCTCCAGAGAGAATGGAGTGTGGCAGGAGCTCGTTGACGCGCAGATGGAACGTTTGAGCCAGAGATTGGAAGTTTCAACCGACGAGTAAGGGCGACGAGTAGACATGGCGGCACGCGCCTCGGACGCAGACGTCAACCGATTCTGAACGTTTTGCATGTCCACACTTTCCCCTCCAGCGGCCATGTATTGCTCACTCTGTGCGTGATCTGTCTTGCGATGCCCTTGCCTGGTGGGGCCTGGTCGTGGGCCGACTATTCCAGTGTTGTCGGGCGCGATACCATTTGGGCCGATCTGCTCATGTCAGCTTTGTTTGATCCGAGACCAGGTCCACTTGGATTGAGGATATAATACCGAGATTCGGCAACATGTACAAGTGCGGTTACTTACATGTTTTCTCCAGGTCCATATCACTATTCTCTTGCTCGCTTTCGCACTCTTCGTCGGCCTCCGCTTCCCGGCAGTCGAAGTCTTCGTCCTCTGCCTCGTACCCGTGCTCCTGCTCGCCAACGTGGCCGCTGTGCCTTGTATGCATGGGCGCCATGCGTTCCTTCTCTTTTCTTCCCTAGTCGCAGTCCCGCGCATCCTGCTCATTGTCGTCCATCCTATGCCGCACACATACTTTTTCGTCGGCGGCTAGGCAGAGTAACTGCGCTGGCGGAAGAGCAATCACAAGGGGGATCCCGTTGGAGCGAATTGCGCCACAATGCAGGAAATGGAGGGGGACAGGGAGGGCGACTGAAGGAGGGGACAGGGATGCCACACACACACACACACTCACTCACTCACTCACTCACTCACTCACACACACACACACACGTGTCCGCAGTTTGGCTGGGGGAGCCTTGCGGGCGCTCCCGGAAGCGTATAAGTAATACATGCTCGCCTCTGGCCTGGCCCGGCCGACTCACGTCTCCGGCCCTTGCCCGCTCGCGAGCGGTGCGGTGTCGTCGGATACTCTAGGCCTCCTAGATGGGGTCGGAGTAGATGGGGTCGGAGAATCGCGCCGCATCGCCGATACAGCGGCGATGCGGCTCGATACAGAGCCCGATTGTCCCCACACCGACGCCGCCGATGCGGCGCGATCTTTCGACCCCATGTGCTCGGACCCCATCTAGGAGGCCTCTAGATGGTTTCCTGTGGTCTAGCCTGATACGGTTGGACCTAGGCATAAGATCGAGGTCGGTTCGGGCAGGGTGCCCTAATATTTTTCGTGCTTGTTGGATGTTCTCGTGCATCCTGGGGGAGGGCACCCTCGAATGCTCTTCAGTTTGGTCAGCGGAGGGTCTCATGTTCTTGCCGGATGTTCTTCTGTCCTAGGTCTGGCCGTAGTTACTGTGTCGTCGGATGGTTTCTTGTGGTCTAGCCTGGTATGTTAGATTTTAGCATGGCTTGGTCCGGTCTCATATGATGTGATGGGAAGCGCGAGCGGAAGAGGAGCGAATGGAGGTGCGGGCGAAGGGCCGCTCCATAACCAGCAGCGCGGCAGCATTATGGGGAAGCTTTTGCCAGCCGCCTTGGGGCCCTCCCTGGCTGTTTTTGTTACGGGGGCATCGTGTGTAGTCTTGGTGGCCTGTCGGAGATGGAGACTCTTCTTGGAGGGCTACTTGGCGTGTTGGGGTCATTCGGCCGTCGGGACGGTCCGCGTGCCCAGTTGAAATCGTATCAGAGATGCGGGCGGACTCCTCTTAGGTGTACCTCTGGCGAGCGTTCGAGTCATCTCATGTGGGCCTCTTGGTTGCTTTTTGGCGTCTCCGAGGAAGAGGGTTAGGAGGAGGACCAGGGGAACCCCATGAGAAGGGCTGGAGGGAAGGAGGTCCAAGGGAAGGAGGAGGAGGAGGAGGACCAGTGCAAACCCAAGAGGCATCAACGATGTCGGAATTCACCCTCCCTCCAAGCTCCCTCTTCATAGGCCCCTACAACGGTTCATTTCCATTGAGGGAACTGCCTCGTTGGAAGATAGCCGCTTGAAGACCTTGAAGCATGCCATAACATTGTCCTCGGGATCTTCACGCCACCGACCAACCCGACTGCTGCGTCCTGACGATCTGGAATCGTACCAAAACGCTATTTCTGGGACTTCAACACCGCGAATCAACAACTGTTGCACCCGCATAAGCGTGAATCCTGACAAAACACGTATTCTGGTACGTTCATCACGTGAATCAGCGAAACTCTTGCAATGCTTTAAAACGAATGTGCGCGGCGATAAGGCGAGAGCCGAATTTTGATGCATGTTGAAAAGGACCGCCTTCAATCCGCGAAACTCCTGCAATCTCTTAAAACGAGTGTGCGCGGCGATACGGCGAGAGCCACAATTTGAAAACGACCCGCCCTCCATCCGTGAAGCTCTTGCAAACTCTTAAATCGAATGTGCGCGGCGATGCGGCGAGAGCCACATGTTGAAAACCACCCGCCCTCAATCGGCGAAACTGTTGCCATTCTTTAGCTTCAGAGTCATCAGTGGTGAGGAAGTCTCAGGCGAAAGGCCCGGCACGCCCTAACAACAGGCCTCGGAGTGCGACAGGGAGAAGTTATTCATAAGGGAAGGAATGGAGGACGAGGACGAGGAGGAGGAGGAGGAGGAGGAGGAGGAGGAGGGGGAAGAGGAGGAGGAGGAGGAGGTGGAGGAGGAGAAGGAGAAGGAGGAGGGGGGAGGAGGAGGAGGAGGAGGAGGAGGAGGAGGAGGAGGAGGAGGAGGAGGAGGACCAGTGTAAACCTAGGTAAGACCCATCAGCGATGTTGGAATACACCTTCCGTCCAAGCTCCGTCTTCACTGGCCCCTACAAGGGTTCACTGAGGGAACTGCCCCGTTCGGGGACAACCGTGTCAAAATCTGGAAGCATGCCCAATCAACAGTTCTCAGGACTTCAGCGCCACGAGTTAACCTGATTGTGAGGTCTTGGCGATCCTGAATCGTGCCAGTGCGCCACTCTTGGGACTTCAGCACAGCGAACCAACGTAATTGTTACGCCCTGACAATCATGAATCGGTCCAACACACACTTTGTGATTCGTTCATCATAAAACTTCGTGGATGTGTTGCGAGCTGTTCAAACGAATGTGCGCGGCGCTGAAGCGAGAGCCACATGTTGAAAGGCAATCCGTAAAACTGCTGCAAACTTTCAAGACGAATGCGCGCGGCGCCAAGGAAAGAGAGAGAGAGAGAGAGACACAGTTTGAAGACGAGTCGCCCTCACTCCGTGAAACTCTTGCAACGTTTTAAGACTAATGTAGAGAGCCACATTTTGAAAACGACCCGCCGAGAGCCGAATTTTGAAAACGGCCCGCCCTCAATCTGTGAAGCTCTTGCGAACTTGAGAACGAATGTGCGCGGCGATACGGTGAGAGCCATATGTTGAAAACCACCCGCCCTTTATCTGTGAAGCTGATGTCAATGCTTTAGCGTCGGGGTTACAAATGGTGACGGGTTCTCAGGCGAAATGCCTGGCCCGCCTTTTCGACTGGCTCGGGTTGCGACAAGGTTTTTTCTTATACGGAACAGGAATTGGCGAGGAGCAAAGAATGGTGAGGAGGAGGAAGAGGAGGAAGAAGAGGAGGAGGAGGAGGGCGGCGACTGCTCATCCCAGGTTGGGGTCAAGGTTGATCATCTTTGGGAAAGCCTATCCCCTCTTCCACTTCCCCCCTCACTTCGTCCTCCCCTCCCTCTGCCACTCCCCCCTGCCCCCCTCGCTTCATCCCCTCCGCCCCCCTCCCTCCCCCTCCTCCCTACACAGCCATCCGACGATGATGTGTTTCAACTCGCGGGGCCCAGAGGCCTCGACCCCTTGCCCAGGGGCAGTGCCTCATCCTGGATCAAGTTTTGTTGGCCCCGGGCCGCGAAAGAGGAACCTTGGAGGCTGGGAGAGTTGAAAAAACGCCAGGACTGAACAGGAACAATCCGCCACAGGCTTTGGCCCCTCCTTCTGACAGCACTGGCCGGCCCCTTGAGGAGGCATTCGTATTCCTGCTGTCCTCCAAGGCTGGCGGGCGCGGCGCTCAGCTGGAAGGTTGGAGGCGCACGAGAGAGGGAGGGTGCCTCGGGGGTAGCTGCAATTGCGCCAGTCCCCGGGGGAAGGGAGACTGGAGAAGAGATAAGGAGGAGGAGGAGGAGGAGGAGGAGGAGGAGGAGGAGGAGGAGGAGGTGGAGGTGGAGGTGGGAGAAGGCGCCCTGACATCTGGCAGATTGAGTTGCTCAATCCCCGGCGTTCTACCAAAAATTCGGCCTCTGGGGGCCGTTCTCCAGCCTCGACGCCATTAGAATTAATCTGGGAAGAAAGGCTTTCCGGGGAACGAATGGAGAGCTCAAGGGCAGGCAGATTGAGGAAAACACATCGTCGGATGTCTGGGTATGCGGGGTTGAGGGGGGAGGGGGGAGGGGAGGGAGGAGAGGGGGGAGGGTATACGTGGAGGGGGATGGGGGTGGTAGGAATGGGGAAGCAGGAGGAGATTAGCGGGATGGAGGGGGGCGTGGATGCGGGGGAGGGGGCTGAGTGGCGTGACAAAGAGAGAGGGAGCGAGGGAGGGAGGGAGGGAGGGAGGGAGGGAGGGAGGATGAGGAGGAGGATGAGGAGGAGGAGGAGGAGGAGGAGGAGGAGGAGAGGAGCAGTAGGAGGAGGTGGAGGAGGAAGAGGAGGACGAGGAAGAGGATGAGGAAGAGGAACAGGAGGGGAAGGAAGAGAAGAGTGGCTTGTCGATGTGTATCTGTATATATGTATATTTACACACATACATATAACGGGGACCGGGTCCGGGGGCCGGCGCCTCGACCACAAATGTGGGGTCCGGGCGTCATTTTCCTTGTGTTTTTCCAGGGTTTCGGCGACCCGGGGCCAACAGGGCCCCAAGATGCTGCATGGAGGCCCCAGGAGGCCGCAGCGATGGCTCCAGACGCCTTTCAAAACGATTCCCATGACGCCAAGAAGGCCCTGGAGGCTCCACGAGACCCCACAGGAGCCCCACATATCAGTTTTCCCACAGGAAATCGACGATGTTTGCTGATTGGGGCTCTATTGGAGTGCCCCTTGGGAGCCTCCTGGGGGTCTCTTGGGGGCCTCTTGGGGCCTCTGGGGGGCCTCTTGGGGCCTCCTGGGGACCTCTTGGGGACTCCTGGGAGCCTCTAGGTCCGAAAGCTCGGAATTTGAACATGGTTGTGCACCTCTGGGACCCCTCTGGGGCTCGTCCTGGGGCTATCTTGGGCTGTCTTGGGGGCCTCTCGGGCCGTCTTGCTGGGGTCGTCTTGGAGCCCTCTTGGGAGCCTGTGGGGCAGTCTTGGGGGCCTCTTGGGCCGCCTTGGACGCAGTGGAAGCCCAAAAGGCGAACACGCCAAAAGTAGCAGTTTTTTTTCATAGGAAATCGACGATGTTTACCTACCTATACCTACGACCACCCTTCGGGTGATAAGGAGGTTCGGGGGGGGAGGAACCAACGTCTCACTCGATCAGTCTCACTATCGATCTCACTATCGATCTCACTATCGGTCTCGCTCGATCGATCTCACAATCGATCTCACTCGATCTATTTCATTCGATCGATCTCACAATCGATCTGACGATCGATCTCACAATCGATCTCAATATCGATCTCACTATCGATTTCACAATCGATCTCACATTCGGTCTCACTATCGACATCAGTATCGATATCACAATCGATCTCACAAGCAACGTCATCATCATCATCATCATCATCATCATCATCATCATCATCATCATCATCATCATCATCATCATCATCATCATCATTATCAACAACATCATCGTCATCAACACCATCATCACCATCATCACCAGGACACCATCATCATCATCTCGTCACCATCATCATCAACATCACCATCATCATCATCATCATCATCATCATCGGGGCACCATCATCGTCACCATCATCATCATTGGGACACCATCATCATCATCGGAACACCACCATCCTCATCATCATCCCATCATCATCAGCATGAACAACATCATCATTATTGGGACACCATCATCATCAACAACGTCATCATCATCAACACCATCATCATCGGGACACCATCATCATCGTCACCATCAGCATCATCACCATCATCATCATCGGGACAACATCATCATCAACATGAGCATCATGACCATGATCGGGCCACCATCATGCCAATCATCAGCATCACCTCACCATCATCCTCATCATCAGCATAATCATCACCGGGACACCATCATCGCCATCATCATCAACATCATCATCATCTTCGGGACACCATCATCATCACCACCATCATCAACATCATCAGGGTCATCAACATTATCATCATCACCATCATCGGGACACCATCATCATCAGCAATATCATCATCATCAACATCATCATCGGGACACCATCATCATCACCATCACCATCACATCATCATCATCAACATCGTCAACATTATCATCATCAACATCATCATCGGGACACCCTCATCATCACCACCATCATTATCACATCATCATCATCATCATCATCAACAACATCGTCAACATTATCATCGTCATCGTCATCATCATCGGGACACCCTCATCATCACCACCATAACCATCATCACCATCATCATCATCATCATCATCATCATCATCATCATCATCATCATCATCATCGGGACACCATCATCATCGGGACACCGACAGGACACCGGCGGGACACCGCGGGCCACCGGACGCCCGGGGCACAATCATTTGGTCCGGCCGCGCCTCAACCACAGGAGACTTTCCTGACACCGGCGGGACACCGCGGGCCACCGGACGCCCGGGGCACAATCATTTGGTCCGGCCGCGCCTCAGCCGCAGGAGACTTTCCTCTCGCCCGCCCACGCAGCTTCGCCTCGCCCGCACGCACGGCACGCACGAACACGAAACCGAAACCGATTTTCCGGTAGGGGGGCTCTCCGTTCCACTTCGATCTCACCCCCTCACCTCCGATTGGGGCTCTCTCGGGGTGCCTCTTGGGGCGTCTTCGGGGCCTTCGGGGGCGCCTCTGGGAGGTCTCAAATCGCCTCGGGGAGCCCTCAGACGGCAATCCCGGCGGCCCCAGACGGTCACGAGACACCCCCAAGACGCCGTCCAGGGGTCTCTGGCGACGCACGATGCGTTTTAAACTGCCCCGGAGGCCCCTAAGACGCCCCAAGAGGCCTTTAAGATGCCGCCCAAAAGTGCCCTGAGAGGGCAGAATCGTTGATTTTGATAGGTTGTTTCAATGTTTTTTTTGCATTCTCGTTGTTTCGTGTTTCCGGCGCTAAAGCACCGCCCAAGAGGCTCCCAAAATCGCTCCAAGACGGCCCAAGAGGCTCCCAAGAGAGCCCCAAGACGGCCCGAGAGAGCCCCGAGACGGCCCCAGAGCCGCCCAAGACGGCGCAAAAGGGTCCCAAGAAGGCCCCCAAAGGGGCCCAAGAGAGGGAACGCGAACCGAAAAATCAAGCTCTCCGCCCCAAGATGCCCCAAGAGGTCCCAAGATGCCCCCAGGAAGCCCCTAAGAGGCCCCAAGAGGCCCCCAAGAGGCCCCAAGAGGCCCCCAACAAGCCCAAAAGAGGTTCCAAGAGGCCCCAAGACGGCACTCAAAAGGCTTCAAAACTCTTTCTGAGAGGCCCCCGAAGACATGCCACGAAGGTCCCATGACGACTTCAAGAAGTAGTCCAGGATGCTCCGAGGAGGCCCCAAGAAGCTCGCTAGCACTTGAGCGCGCGCGAAGCGCGCGCGATGGTTCTAGTATCGGAGGTGAGGGGGTGAGATCGAAGTGGAACGGAGAGCCCCCCTACCGGGAAATCGGTGTCGGTTTCGTGTTCGTGCGTGCCGTGCGTGCGGGCGAGGCGAAGCTACGTGGGCGGGCGAGAGGAAAGTCTCCTGTGGCTGAGGCGCGGCCGGACCAAATGATTGTGCCCCGGGCGTCTGGTGGCCCGTGGTGTCCCGCCGGTGTCAGAAAAGTCTCTTGTGGTTGAGGCGCGGCCGGACCAAATGATTGTGCCCCGGGCGTCCGGTGGCCCGCGGTGTCCCGCCGGTGTCCCGCCGGTGTCCTGTCGATGTCCCGATGATGATGGTGTCCCGATGATGATGATGATGATGATGATGATGATGATGATGATGATGATGATGATGATGATGATGATGATGATGATGATGGTGATGGTGATGGTGATGGTGATGATGATGATGATGATGAGGATGATGATGTCGATGATGTTGATGACGACGATGATGGTGATGATGGTTATGGTGATGATGAGGGTGTCCCGATGATGATGACGATGATGATAATGTTGACGATGTTGATGATGATGATGATGATGATGTGATGGTGATGGTGGCGATGATGGTGTCCCGATGATGATGATGATGATGATGATGTTGATGACCCGGATGATGTTGATGATGAGATGATGATGATATGATGGTGATGATGAAGAAGATGATGATGATAGTGTCCCGATGGTGATGATTATGATGAGTATGATGATGCTGTTGATGCTGATGGTGATGATGATGGTGTCCCGAAGATGATGATGATGTTGATGATGATGATGATGGCGATGATGGTGTCCCGGTGATGATGCTGATGCTGATGATGAGGATGATGATGAGGTGATGCTGGTGATTGTCATGATGGCGGCCCGATCATGGTGATGATGCTCATGTTGATGATGATGATGGTGTCCCGATGATGATGGTGATGATGATGATGGTGACGATAATGATGGTGTCCCGATGATGATGATGTTGATGATGATGACGATGATGATGATGATGCTGGTGTCCCGATAATGATGATGTTGATGATGTTGTTCATGCTGATGATGATGGGATGATGATGAGGGTGGTGGTGTTCCGATAATGACGATGATGGTGTCCCAATGATGATGATGCTGATGATGATGATGATGATGATGATGGTGACGATGATGGTGTCCCGATGATGATGACGGTGATGATGATGTTGATGATGATGGTGACGAGGTGATGATGATGATAATGATGGTGTCCCGATGATGATGGTGATGATGGTGTTGATGACGTTGATGACGATGATGTTGATGATGATGAAGATGACATTGCTTGTGAGATCGATTGTGATATCGATACTGATGCCGATAGTGAGACCAGATGTGAGATCGATTGTGAAATTGATAGTGAGATCGGTAGTGAGATCGATTGTGATATCGATAGTCAGATCGACTGTGTGATCGATCGAATGAAGTAGATCGAGTGAGATCGATTGTAAGATCGATCGAGTGAGATCGATCGAGCGAGACCGATAGTGAGATCGATCGTGAGATCGATAGTGAGATCGATAGTGAGACCAATCGAGTGAGACGTTGGCTCCTCCCCCCCCCCGAACCTCCTTATCACCCGAAGGGTGGTCGTATAGGTATTATATGTACACATCGCGAGGGGGCCCTTTGACGCTCATGTTGCTTGGAGAGGTGCCCCTACTTTCACCATTGAATATTCTCCTCTCTTCACTGTGGCCCAGCGTTTCCTGGACAGCTTCCTACGAAGATGGCCCAGTGTCTGGCGCGCACCTGCAAATGCACGGGGGCGAATGCATACGTCCAGCCTCAGCGTCTGCTTAAGATGTTGGCAGAAAGCCGGCCCGGACAACTCTGCTTCATTGCAGCCCGTGTGTAAGGGGAGTGCAGCGAGGGCCCCCCGCAGGATTCGGGGGATGGCCCCAGAGGAGGCTCCAGTTGCGGTCTTGAGCGCTGCCCCGGGAAGGCTCGACGGGGGACCCAGGCCGCACGTGTGGAGCAGAGCCGTCATAGGTCCGCTGGTCCTAAACTTAAGTCGGGCCTGTCCCTCTACATGAGGAGTATTCAAAAGCAGTAAAAATAGTCTGGGGACGATGGTTTGAAGCATGTTTGGCTCTCTTGGAGCATGTTTTGAGCACTTTCTTTATTTTTCGCCCAAGATCCGCCTGTGGGGGGACACGCCCGACCTAATCCAACACGGTGGAGCTGGAGGGCAACTCGTCAAGGCGCCCAGTCGAGTTGGGCTAACGCCGCAGCCTCGTGCACCAGAGGGGGCGAGGCGCCAGCTGCGCGCCCCCCTCCATGCGGCGACCTCCAGGCCGGGCGAAGGTGCGCGCTCGCCTGCTCGCCACCTCCTCCTCCTCCTCCTCCTCTTTCCATCCTCCCTCCCCTCCCTCCCTCCCACCCTCCTCCCTCCCACCCTCCTCCCTCTCCTCCTCCTCCTCCTCCTCCTCCTCCTCCTCCTCCTCCTCCTCCTCCCTCCCTCCTCCCTCCCTCCTCCCTCCCTCCTCTCTCCCTCCCTCCCTCCTCCCTCCCTCCCTCCCTCTGGATGGGGAAGCTCTTCCGTCGCAGCGCGGCGAAGGCAATCCGCGCGCGCGTCCGCGCGGAACTGGGGCACGGAGAGGAGGGAGAAAACACACAGACACAAATTGTTCCCCAGATGTTTCGTGGGGTTTGGGTTTTCATCTTTGCCGCGTCGCACCCGCGTCTCCCGCACACCTCCCCTCCCCCTCCTTTCTCTTTCTCACAGAGCACAGCGCAGCACAGCGCAGCACAGCGCAGCACAGCGCAGCACAGCGCAGCACAGCACAGCACAGCACAGCTCAGCACAGCACAGCACACAGCATAGCACACAGCACATTAACACACAGCACGTACACAGAACAGCACTGCTCAGCTCAGGTCAGCACAGCACAGTTCATCACAGCACTGCTGCTTTCTCGACAGCAGAGGGGGTGCGCAGGGGGTGGTCCCTCAGCGCGGTCTCTATATACGCGCCAGTGTCGCAGGGCTTAGCAGCAGGTGTGGCACTTTCTCGACATCAGAGGCGGTGCGCAGGAGGTGGTCCCTCAGCGCGGTCTCTATACGCGCCAATGTCGCAGGGCCTAGCAGGCGTAGCACTTTCTCGGCACCAGAGGGGGTGCGCAGGGGGTGGTCCCTCACCCCGACGTCTATAGACGCCAATGTCGCAGGGCCGAGCAGGCGTGGCACTTTCTCGACACCGGAGGGGGTGCGCAGGAGGTGGCCCCTCAGCGCGGTCTCTATACGCACCAATGTCGCAGGGCCTAGCAGGCGTGGCACTTTCTCGACACCAGAGGCGGTGCTCAGGGAGTGGTCCTTCACCGCGGTTTCCATACGCGCCAATGTCGCAGGGCCGAGCAGGCGTGGCACTTTCTCGACACCGGAGGGTGCGGAGGGGGTGCGCAGGGGGTGGTCCTTCAGCGCGGTCTCCATACGCGCCAATGTCGCAGGACCTAGCAGGCGTGGCATTTTTCTCGGCACCAGAAGGGGGTGCGCAGGGGGTGGTCCTTCAGCGCGGTCTCTATACGCGCCAATGTCGCAGGGTCTAGCAGGCGTGGCACTTTCTCGGCAGCAGAGGGGGTGCGCAGGGGGTGGTCCTTCAGCGCGGTCTCTATGCGCGCCAATGTCGCAAGGCCGAGCAGGCGTGGCACTTTGTCGACACCAGAGGGGGTGCGCAGGGGGTGGCCCCTCACCCCGACGTCTATACGCGCCAATGTCGCATGGCCCAGCAGGCGCACTTTCTCGACACCGGAGAGGGTGCGCAGGGGGAGGTTCTTCACCCCGACGTCTATACGCGCCAACGTGGCAAGTCTTAGCAGGCGTAGTATGTCCTCCGCACCAGAGGGGGTGCGGCCCTCACCGCGCTCTCTATACGCGCCAATGTCGCAGGGCCTAGCAGGCGTGGCACTTTCTCGACACCAGAGGAGGTGCGCAGGGGGTGGTCCTGCACCGCGGTCTCTATACGCGCCAATGTTTGAGGGCTCGACAGTCGTGGCACTTTTTTTCGATATGAAACGGTATCGACGGGGCAACGGCCACCAACATCATTCCCACATGCTTCACTCCAGTTATCATCACTAAGACATAAGATAACTATGTGGGGTTCCTCGGTAGCGTAATTCAAATATGGGGAGATCGTTGTTGAAACAGTTGTCGATTCCCAGGAACATATGGGAAAATATGGGAAGTGTGGGGGGGAAACGAAAGTCCAGAAACGATGGCAAATAACGGGGACTCTTGGGACTTGTGTCTATTTATTTGTGTCCCTGGGCCCACTCAGTACCTCCCTGCCTCCCCCTCCCTGCCACTCCCTGCCTCTGTCAGAGGGGGCTCACCCGAGGGCGCCCCGCGCCAACACCGTGCGCGTTTGGCGATCAAGGCGGCCCAAGACGGCCACCGAAGCCGCCCCCAGACGGCCCAGGAGGCCCCGAAGAGGGCCCCAAAACAGCCCAAGAGGGCCCCAGGGCGGCCCCAGAGGCGCCCCAGGCGGCCAGAGAGGGCCCCAAGACTGCCTCAAGAGGGGCCGAGAGGGGGAACACAAGGCTCAGATCGTTGCCAGGCGCGCCTCTTGCCGCGCGAGGCCCAGCCCCCCAGGTAGGCCCTCGGCCTCCTGGCCTCCGCCCCCTCCTCCTCCTCCTCCTCCTCCTCCTCCTTTTCCTTTTCCTTTTCCTCCTCCTCCTCCTCCTCCTTGAGGTGCCTGCTGAAAGGTTATAAAAGAGAAGAGCTGTTCACAATGATAGATGAGCAGATTAAGAAGGTACCTCAAGATATTTGGGATCAGCTGTATTCGAAGAAGTCTCCTGATTTCTTATGGAAAAAATGCGTTGGGTGTGTGAACGCGGCGTTGCACAGCACGTTCAAGCAGGGCGCGCGCAGCACAGACGGTGCATACTGCATGATGCGTACGATGAGGATGCAGCTGCTGGAGGAGAGGAGGCGGTACAGGGAAGGACTACACGAGGAAGGCACGGAGGCGAGCAGGATGGAGGTGGAGCAGGAGCTGACAAGAGTGACGGCAGCACTGAAGGAGCTGAGAGAGGCACACGTAGCAGCAGAGCGGGAAGGCATTGTTCGAGAGATCTGGGAGGCTTACAAGGAGAACAGGTTCGCTGACATGCATAGGCTTAGAGTAGAGTATCAGCGAAACGGGCGAGGGCCAAAGAAGAGGTTCTACTACAGCCACCGTTGTCACTCGTCAGGAGAGCAGTGGAGAGAGGAGCTAGGTCGTGACCCACATGACGGAGGGTTAGCGTGTACCCCGCTCGACTGGGAGCGGACTAGGCCGGATTACGCGAACGACTGCGAGCTCGACGATGGTGACTTCCCTCTCCTGCCCTCTGATGCTGATCTAAAAGCTAGAGTGCAAAAAGATCTCTGGGCCATGAAACCATTCTGCAGAAAGGCAAAAAGCGACGTGCATATCCTGAATGGGGGTCCCAGTAGAAATTGCGTGGATGCTGATCGAGCCAAATATAAATCTGTCTGGGCCGACTGAGCAAACACATAGACTAGAAGCTAAGCGGATCAGAGAAGCTGAGAAAGAAGAGAATGAGGAGGAGCTCGAGAAGCACAGCACGCACTTCCTCTTAGCCAAAGGGCGGAAGCTTCTCCAGAAGTTAGGTTGGGACCCAGGTGAAACACTAGGAGCACGCCAGCGCGCTGCAGGTGAACCAGCACAATAAATTATTGGTGATCCCCACTGGCAGTTTGGCAGAACGGAACTTTTAGGAGTTGGGATGCCTCTATTTAAAGACTTAGAGTACGAGGCACCGAAGATGCTGCTGAGGATTATGGAGCACTTCAGACAAAGCCATATTATGCCACTAGACATGTTGCGATCGCACAGTTTTGCAGCTGAGAAAGCGAATAATAAGAAAGGTATTGCGGGGGAGCGCATCATGTACGCATACTGCGCAGCTAGCATGGCATGGCACAGTGGGATCCACCGAAGAGCGCTGCCTATTGTTCGATCTCACTTTGCTCACGGAGGGTTAGCGCATCGGTCACGTGAGAATGCAGCACTAGTCTTGCTTGCCACGAGGTGGAGATGCGAACAGGCAGGGAGATCGTTAATCATGAGCAACTTCGATTGCACAAACGCATTCGCTTCGACTAACAGAGAGTTACTTCGAGAACAGATCGATCGCGCCGCCGAGGAGTTTGATCTCCCGCACGCCTACGGCGCGCTGGGGCACGCAGCTCTGCCCCGACAGGCAGCCGGCGAGAGAGTGGACTTGAAAAGCAGCAAAGGGGCCCAGATGGGCCTCGCGCTCGCCCCGCGTGGCTTTAATGATAGCTACAATCCAATCGTCGCAGCCTGGCCAGAGGGGGGGATATATATATATATAGAGAGAGAGAGAGAGAGAGAGAGAGAGAGAGAGAGAGAGAGAGAGAGAGAGAGAGAGAGAGAGAGAGAGAGAGAGAGAAAAAGAGAGAGAGAGAGAGAGAAAACAGGAAGGACAGCAGGTGAATGATACCCAGCATCCCATTGATGAGCGGTACTGCGCCTCGAGCATTCGCACCTTCATGGGCGACATTACTAAGATTGCGATGCTACACATCGCAGCAAGAAAAGAAGAAATGGTAGAACAGGTAAACCTGGTAAGCGGTAGACTCGAGAAGGCGCTGAGAGCAGGAAGCTGGCGCCTCAACGCCGGCTGGACAAACCATCCTCTAGTTTTACGATGTGAGCGAAGCTATCAATGCACGCGAGCACTGAGGAAGCAGACGAGTGGATTCAGGGGAGAGGCCCTGCGAGAGATGAGGGTGTCGGGGCCCTGCGCACCGTCGGGCCAGGGACTAGGGAACGAGATAAGGAGACGCTGCGATGCGGCAAGAGCAGCATGGAGGCAGTGTAGCACCTTCTGGTCGTCCAAGACTTCGAAGGTAATCAAACGTAGCACGTTGATGGCTTTTATCGTGGGAGCAGCCTTGAGCGGGCTATCATGTTTTGTCATAAGTAAGAAGTACACGGATACGATTGGCAGTACTATGTGCAAGCCACTCAGGTACCTGTCGAGAGGAAAGAACTGTTGGACAGCTGAGCAAGGAAGGAAGAGGACGACGACATTGGAGGAGGTGTTCAGGGATTGGGAGGATCAACGGGAGCGCAGACGAGCTAAGGGTCAGAAGACTAAAGTGGTATCAGCGCTGGTCGCAATTCCCGAACGATCATGAGGCAGTCCTAGCAGCAGTATTCGGCACGTCCAAGAGTGACCAGAGCATAGGGGCGAAGCGCATCACAGAGCACAAGAACATTAGGCAGCCCACACCTTGGGCCAAGCAGTATCTCGAGGACATGCGTTACCTAGCTAATCAAGACGAAGGGTTTAAAGAATGGTAAGATAAAAGATCTAGCGACATGAGTTTATGCACAGACAGATCTGACGAAAAAGAGAAGTGGCTTCAGACGGACCCTTCAGTGTTGAACAGCGTTGCTAGATAATGGAAACATAGTAGACCACAGCCAATACCTACAGAGCCATCAGCAGCTAACTCAGCAGAACTGGATAACATATTTTAGTGTGATTTTTGGAGCGTAAACTCGGAGGGAGCAGATGTAGTGTGCGGATGTAGATTTCGGACAGCAGCGGCCCTGGCTGCGCATAGGAGAGTACAGCACAACATAGAGCCGCTCATCCCTAAGCTTGTGATCACGAATCAATGTCCGTGGTGCAGATCTAACTTCCCCGATGAGAGGGCATCGACAGACCGCGCAGCACGAGCGGCAGAGGGGACGGGCATCTGCTGCATTGCCTCCTCGAAATGGGAACGCCAGCTGAGGAAGTAAGCGAGAGCGAATTGATCTGTAGTGTTTGCCAGTATCAAGCCAGCAGCTTCGACGATTTCCAGACACGCGTCACTGGCCACCACCCTGGACCTTACACAGTGCGATTTGGCAGAGGTGCGGATGTCTTGGGTGTCGGCGAAGAAGAGGAGGGCAGCGGAAGGGGCAGGCGGAGCGGGCAGCAGCGGCGGGGGCCAGCAGCTATTTGGGAAAGGAGGAGGTGGCAAGGGGGCACAAGCAAGTGAGAGCAGACAGCGTCGCCGCATCCCCCGAACTCCAGCATGCCCTGGTCGCTGCCCAGAAGTTAACCCTCCGCGTAGCAGCAGAGCAGAGAGACATGGCCAACCTATGCACCAAGTTCTGGATCCTTCCACGCACAGCCTCACTCGTCCGAGAAGGTTTCGAGGCTGGACAGGGGTACCACCAGGCAGTCAAAGAAGCGGGCAAGGGGCGCGCGCTGGGCCCCCCCTGCGGGCACGTATCGGCGGGGGTGATCGGGCCGGATCGGGGCGATGCACGACGCGTTCGGGGACGAGGGGGCCGAGGGAGAAGCCGAGAAGGTCCTCGCGTCGTGGATGGAGGCAGCAGGTCCAGAGGGGTACGGGAAAGCATGCGTGGACGAGTTTTTTTTTGTTTTTCAGGATGTTCCGACTGCGGGAGTGCTGCAGCCCAGACGGAGCGCCAGAGCAGGAGCACAAGGCAAAACTTCAGTCTTCGCTCAACATGAGCCCCGACCTCAGGACGGTGATCCACCTGGCCACGGGACCCCCAGCTCAAGTTCCCACGGTAGACATGAGGGCCTTCCAGAGCGGCTTCACCCTGGGGCTGATCAAAGCGGGTGGATCCAAGCCGACGGGAGCGGGGCCCAGGACGGATCTGGAGAGGACAGTGGAGCGCCAGTTGAGGAATTTCCAGAGGGTGTGATGCAGCACGCGCGCGCTTTGGCCCGTGATCCTCGTAAGCTCGCCAATCTCTACAAGATGCGGGACAATGGGGTGCAGAGAGTCGGGCAGCTAGTCAGAGCAGTAGAATTCGTTAGGCGTCAGATGTCCCAACAGTTGCAATATGCGTATTAAAGTGGGCAATAAGTTGTTTGATGACGCACAATCACCACACGATTGGTAAGAGGAGAGAGTATTTTCTTTATGAGAGTAGCCGTCTTTATCGAGCTGCAGAGGGACTTGCACTGCGCAGATTGCCAGCGCATCTGTATCGCTTGCACGCCATGGCGTCTGGATCAGTACACCCCACGAGGACGGCTGCCACGGCGGGGACGGCGCCGACTGTAGCTACAGGAGCAAATGCAGTGCCAGTCCCACAGCCGCCGAGCGCGCGCCCGCCAGGGCCGATTCGCTCGAAAGCAGCACCGACCCGCAGGAGCCAGACAGACCAGGTGAGAGTTCAATCGGCACAGCAGGCCCATGTCACGCCGGGCCGCCTGCTGCGCGAGCATTACTCCCTACGATTCTTGGGCAGTGCAGTCTCCTGAACAGCCAGCTCAGCCTCCTCCAGCTCCAGAGGGATAGTATTGTGACCCCAGTCGTGGATGATACGCAGCTCGAGGCTGACTGCATCGCCACGCGTCGCAATATCGACAGTCAGATACACTACTGGAGAGATGAGATCGACCGTCTGCATGAATGCATACGTGCGCTGGATGAATCTGACTTGGGAGTGCAGCGTTTCGACTGGGAGATCTCGAGGCCGAGCGGGAGCAGTGAGCGTGAGGAGGGGCAGTAGCTAGCGCAGCTCGCGTCGTCCTCCCCCTCCTCGAGAGCTTGCTGCTGCTGCTTGCCTCCCCCCTCCGAATGGGCTGGGCCCCCGCCCCGACCTGCTCGGGCTGTTCGGCCTGCAGCACACGGTGTACGTGAGGCTGGGCCGCCCGCGGACCCGTGCGGGGGTGGCTGGGCAGGGGCGGTTCCTCCTCTCCTCCTCCTCCTCCTCCTCCTCCTCCTCCTCCTCCTCCTCCTCCTCCTCCTTCTCGATCCGAGCGAATTTGTTAGACTCCCAGGCCTCGATGAGGCCAGAGAGAGATTCAGCAGCGTTAGGTGCGAGGCTCGCCCCATGAGGGGGTGACCTCGCACCTCCCGAGTCTGGAGGTGCAGAATGCGACGGGGCGCCTCTGCCGAAGCGGCAGCGCTTGCAGCGAGAGGTTGCGGCGTTCGCCGTAGGCGGCAGGGGGGGGACAGGCGCAGGTCCCATCGAGATCCTCGTTTGCTTCCATTTCTTTCCTAAGGGCCCGATGCGATGCAAGCGATTCGACCATGGTCCCCAACGGCTCCACCACCACCACCACCACCACCTGTGGTGGCAGAGCGGTCGGGGGGGGGGGCCGGAGACCCCCCCCCCAAGGAGCCCAGGAGGCGTTCTTTCATAGGGGGAGGTGCACTCGGGAAAAGGGGCTTCTGCGGGGTCGCGGGACTCGACTCGTCCAGCTCGATCGCTCCCCGTGCGTCTTGCTGGATTCGGCTCGCGCGCAGGCGCCCTGTTCCACAGGTCGGGGTCTCGCGCTTGCCTGCCACTCGGGGGGTTCAGATTCCGACGGGGGGTGGTTGTTTTGTTGTGACTCCAGGTCGTGCCACAGCACCCTTGCCCAGGCCCGCCGCGGCACGGTCCTGGCTCTGGGCACTGCGGGCAAGACTCGGTGTCCATGTCCAGTGCGTCTGGGACCTTCGAGCTCTCCTCCCTCTCTCTCGCTCTCTCGCTCTCTCTCTCTCTCTCTCTTTCTCTCTCTGTCTCTCTCTCTCTCTCTTTCCCAGAAGCCGGAGACGCCGATCTTTTGGACATAAAGGTCCACATCCACTGCGCCCCGTGCTTTTGGACACCTCTTTTTCCCGAGAGCCCAAGACGCCGGGGATGTGGGCAGAAACCTTGCTCCCAGGCAAGTTCGGCGCCAGCGCGGCGCACCGGTGTTGGCGTGGCCCCCCCGCCGCGTGGCGCGGCAGCCACGTCGTCCAACGGCGAGGCGGCCCCCCACGGCGCCGCCGCCAGCCTGCTGGGCCCCGCGCGCCGCGGCCGCAGGGCCTGGCGCGGAGGCCCCCCGCGGATGCGCGCTACTTCGCGGCCGCGGCGCGTGCAGTGCGCGCAGCGGGCTTCCCGATGCCGATGAGCGCGCGCCCGCCGCCCACGTACCCCGCGCCACATGCCGCCCTCTCCCCTCCTGTCTTCCACCTCGTCCTCGTCCGCGTCGCTCTGCGGCTCCGGTTGCGGAGCCGTCAGCGCCAGCTTCGCGATGCAAGTTTGCTCCTTCGACGGGTCGCTGCCCTGCGAGAAAACGGGCCGCTGCAACGATCGGATCAGACATCTTGGGGAACGCTGTGTCTCTTCTGCCTCCTCCTGCCCGTAATCAGGCCGCCCTGGCACCAACCCTCCAATGGGCGGTCGGCCACCCTCCAGAACTCGGGCTCCGCGCCTGAGAGTCGCCCCGCCGCCACCCCGTGCGGATAGGCGCGCCGAGGAGACTTGCTTCGCTTCGGCAGGCTGGCTCCTCTTCCTCCTCCAGACGCAGCGGAAGCCCCACTCGAGGCGGCCTATTCTGAGGACAAGGTAGCTGTCTGTCAGCCTCCCAGCCAAGGGCCTGCCAAGGGCTTGGATGAGTTTCGAGATGTGCGCTTCAACTTCAAGGTTCCAGTGGCATCCTCTTCTCTTCGCGCGCGCCGTGGCCAGGAACGGGAGCGACGAAGGGATTGTTGTTCTTGCTTGTGCTGCAGGCGTGCTGTCTGCGTCAGCGGGCCCCAGCCCGCCCGAGCGCTGCTCAAGCCGTGCCCACGGGACCCGGCGCGTCTGGGACTGGCGGTGGCGCATCACCGAACAGGGAGACAAGACCTGGTGCCAGAGCGCCCACAGAAGGGTGCCGCGCGACATCCGAGAGAGGGTACGTGTTTTTTCCTTCCAGTGCGCTGGCTCAGGAAGGTTCGGGTTCGGCGGACTTGGGTGCTCTGCGATGCGTGGGCCCCCCCAGGCTCGTGCAGCCTCGCAGGGGAGGACCTCCTTGCGGCGAGGGCCCTGGGATAGTCAGCGCCTCCTCGGGCGCGGTGCCGTGGACGGCGACGACTCTGTGGAGACCTCGGCTCCTCTCCGAGGCCTCCAACGAGGGGCCCAAACAGCCCCCACGACAGTCAGGCTCCGCTGCGGGCCGCCCGTTCATCTCATGCCACTGCATATCATCTCGGCTCGTCTCCTCTCATCTCACTGCATCTCATCTCATTTCATACCATATCATCATATCCTCCTCCTCCTCCTCCTCCTCCTCCTCCTCTTCCCTCTTCCCCCCTCCCGCCACCTTATCCCCCTCGTCGTTTTACTTCTCCCTCCTTCCTCCTTCCCCGCCCCCTCATGCCCCTTCTCGACTTCTCCCTCCATCCCTCCCTCCCTCCTTCATCCCTCCTCCCTCCTCCGCCTCCCTCCTTCTCCTCCTTCTCTTCCTTCCTTCCTTTCTTCCTCCCTCCCTCCCTCCCTCCCTTCCTCCTCCCCCTTGGCTCGAGCAACATCTCGGCTCGCGTGGCCAGCCTGCCTTGCCCCAGCTCCTCCGCCCGCCAGCCAATGTGCGTCATGGAGCGTGCCGCCTGCTTGGCGACCGCCTCGCGCACAACGTCACCGATGACGAGAAGGAAAAAGCTCCAGCGTTAAGTCGGGCATGTCCCTCTACAGGAGGAATATTCAAAAATGGTTTAGAAACATAGTCTGGGGACGATTTTTTGATTTTTTGTTGACTATTTTTCCATATGTTTTGAGTATGTTTTCGTTTTCGTCCAAAATCCGCCTGTAGGGGGACATGCCCGACCTAGCTCCAGCGCTCGGCGGCACGTCGGGCGCAGTGCTACGGCCAGGAGCTGTTCGCCGCACTGCAATGCGGGCCCCCGCCATCTGTTGCTGTTGCTGGCGCGGCAGTTTGCAATTATCATGGCGCCCACATCGCAGAGCGGATTTCGTTCGGAAAACGACTGGGTGGGCCCGGAGTGTCCTGGAGAATTTCGTTTCGGATTTCGAGGTGAATTTAGTGCGGATTTTTTGGGCCAGGATTGAAGACCCCCCAAAAATCCACGCGAAATTCATTTCGTGTTTCGCTCGCCGCTTTGGGCAAACATCCACGCAGAAATCCACGCAGAAATCCGCTGCAGCACGTCTGCAAGGCCGGTGCACTGACGATGATGGAGTTCCCCCTGATCACAGTCCAGAGAATGGAACCAAGTACTTTGTTATTGAGATTCCCTAGATGCCTGTCGCTTTCGTCTACTCTGACGTCCCATGCAGCCACTACTGGGAGCCCAACAACTGGGAGTACGGCCTGGTGTAGTCGGCTTCGGAGAAGAACCACCTCACGCCTGTGGCGGACAATGAGCTGGGCGCTCTAGAGCCAGCCCTCGGCGTCGGCATAGACGCGGTCAAGAAGATCCAGAAAAAGGCAGGGAATAAAGGAGGTCTTCAAGATCGGAGAGGTGCCTTTGGCGGAGCACCCAGCCCACGTGACGCAGGCTCCAACACGGACAGACGAGGCGCCGCACACCACGATCATGACGGATGAGGTCGTGAAGATCGCGGAGGTTCTTCCGGGCTCGAACGTCCACGAGGGCGAGAGGACCGAGGAGGTGCCGCAGGAAGAGCACGAGGAGAACACCCCGATCGGCAAGCTGAGCCCCCGCCATGGAAAACGCGCAGCGCGAAGCGAACGAGGCCATCAAGACGCCGATCGACGGCGAGGGCACTGCCCACACGGTGGAGGACATAGACGCGTTCGGAACAACGGACGACCACAGCCCAGGAAGGATAGCAAGGGGCTGAGCGACACCACCTGCAAGAGCCTGGGTGTATAAACAAGCGGAGCCACGACATCTCTGGCCCACCATCGGCCAGCTGCGAAAGCGGCGAGTCCGCTGACAAGGAGGCCTTCGACACGTGCGTTGAGGAACACATGGAGAATCATCCCCGTTGGTTCTATCTCGTTGGCGAGAGCTGGGGGCCGCTCGGTGCTTTCGACAAAGGCGCCGAACTCGAACAAGCTTACCAGTTATTCCTGTCAGGAGATGGAGCCAGAGAAGTAAAAGTGAAGGCGGGTTGCAACACTTCAGTCAGAGTAGATGTTGAAGCCTTCTGCAGCCTTCTGTTTGAGGCCGCTTTACAAGAGCAAGTTCAACAACTTCAGACATAAGCTGCGGAGGCAGCTCGCATGAGTGCAGTTGCTCTGTTTTCTGTGAGTCTCTCTCTCTCTCTCTTTCGGAGACCTTCCTTAAGAAGGAGCGGACTTTATTGCAGTATGAAGGCCGCCTGTGCGAAGTTCACTGGCGGCAAATCTGCAGAGTCCGTGATTGTGTATGTGCATCTTTTCTGTCCACTGTTGCGGGACATGGTCGCTGTCCAACATTCATTATGTTGCATTTGTTTCGCGTGCTTTGTGCATCGTGTCTTCGGAAACCTTCCTTGAGAGGGAGCGGGTTTCTCAGAAGTAGCGGTGCATGAGTTTGATATGTTCTGTCCCTTGGAGCAGTGTGCGTGCACCTGCTTCTGCATACGTGTACAGATTGTGACTTGATCGGCAGGTCGAGAGCCTCAGTCGGCACTTCCCTGCAATTCACGTCGGAGGCAACGGCCTTCGTCCCAATTCGATTCGAGCCAAGTCGATCCCCGACCCTCCCCAGCCGTGCGCTCGTCCTCCCTCCTCCCTCCTCCCTCCTCCTCCTCCTCGTCCTCCTCCTCGTCCTTCTCCTCCTCCTCGTCCTCCTCCTCCTCCTCCCTCCTCCTCCTCCTCCTCCTCCTCCTCCTCCTCCTCCTCCTCCTCCTCCTCCTCCTCCTCCTCCTCCTCCCCCCCTCTCTCCTCCCCCCGTCCTCTCGCTTGCGAGGTGCGGCCTGAACTTGATCGGCGCCAACCGGCTTGTTATGTACGACCCAGACTGGAACCCAGCGAACGACCGCCAAGCGATGGCCCGAATTTGGAGAGACGGCCAAAAGAAGGCGGCCGGGAGGGCCATCTTCTGCTTCTTCTTCCTCCTCAACTTGGCAACTTGGCAGAGGGCCCACCTCCCTCCCTCCAGTCTCTCCCCTCCCCCCTCCCCTCTCATCCGCCCCCCCATCCTTGTGCACCTAGTCGCCCCCCTCCCCTTCGTCACCCTTATCCTCCTTTCCTTATCTTCCTCCGCCAACGCTCAAGCCAACGTCGTTCTCCTCCTCCTCCTCCTCCTCCTCCTCCTCGTCATCATCGTCATCATCATCATCATCATCATCATCATCATCATCATCATCATCATCATCATCATCATCATCATAATCATCAGCATCATCATCATCATCATCATCATCACCATCATCATCATCATCATCATCATCATCATCATCATCATCATCATCCCTCTTCCTCCGCCTCCTCCACCTCCTCCTCGTCCTCCCCGTCCTCCCCGTCCTCATCCTTCTCCTCCTCCTCCTCCTCCTCCTCCTCCTCGAGAAGCGAATCTTCGAGAAAGCATTCAACAAGTTCAAGATGCGTGCCAAGGCTTTCAGTGCTAGTGACGCCCCCTCCATGGGCTCAGCCGCATTGTTCAACAGCCGTGCACTTCCTGTCCTTAGCTACCTCGCACAGTTCGCCATGCTCCCACACGAGTACTTCAAGAACGAGAACTGGATCAACGCCTCGGTGCTGCGATTCCCCAACGGAGCCTTCAGGATCAAGGACTGGCCGCACCTCCGAACGTGGGGTGTCCACGGTCCGCGTTCGTTGCAGCTCACGATGGTGGCCACTATCATCCGCTCGGCGGCCACGACCTTCAGCAAATTCCCTGAGATTCGAGCTCGACTTCATGAGGGCCTCAACTCGTACGGCACCATGCAGACACTGATTGGGGTTGCCCGTGGCGCGCTCCACCAATCGCCTCCGTGGTGGCAGATGCCCCCGTTCGTGGAGACTCTGCACCAGGTCGCCACGTCCACGGCCGAGCATGTCTACTACCCAGCGAACCTGCTGCGCCCTGCGGTCGCTGGCGCGATGGAGGCCATCGACGACGGCCGCCCTGACCTCGCCCAGCGGCGCGCGTTCTCGGCGGCGCTGCTGGCCCTCGGTCCTGACTCCATCGGCCCCTTCCTGGAGGCGAGGATCGTGGCCGAGCTCCCACACTTCGCAGAGTTCTTCCACTACAACCCAGACATCTTCTCCAAGCTGTGGGAGGCCATGTGCCGCCTCCCTCCGTCGTGGGCCGCGGCATGGATGAGGACCATTTCCTTCTCATGGCTGACCTCGTGGCGTATCATCCACCCGCTGGGCAAGAAGAAATGCATCTTCGGCTGCCGCCATGGCCAGGACACGCTCAGACACTACCTCACATGTGCGCCCCTGGCGCGGGCTGTGGGCAAAGCCTGCAACGCCCCCCCCCCATGATCACCGAGTTCGCGAAGCTCGGCCCACGGACATGACCAACGAATCCATCGAGCTCATCGTGGTCATGTGCAACACGTACCACAACCTCAGGGGCGAGCTGCTCGTCGCCGAGGAGGCGACCCTCTCTGTCGCCAAGGCGGCCCTGCGCGCCTCGAAGTCCATGCGGAGGCCCCCTGTCGTCCAGCGGGGCCCTCGGCGTCGCCGGCGCCAACGACCACATGGCGGTGATCAAGGCGCTTTCGATCTGCTTCAACATCGCGACCAAGTACTGCTTCAGGGAGGAGCGCTTCATCCTCCTCCTGCTGCGCCGCCTGTGAGCAGGTGAGTGCGGCGAGCCGCAGGCGGCGCGCTGGAGCGCGCGGCCTCGGCAACCTGGAGCCGCCCCCTCGGCACGCTCGACTCCTCCTCCTCGTCCTCCTCCTCCTCCTCCTCCTCCTCCTCCTCCCCCTTGTCCTCGTCCTCCTCCTCCTCCTCCTCCTCCTCCTCCTCCTCATCATCATCATTATCATCATCCTCAGCATCATCAGCATCAGCATCATCATCAACATCATCAGCATCAGCAGCATCATCATCAGCATCAGCAGCATCATCATCATCATCATCATCATCATCATCGTCATCATCCCTCCTCCTCCTCCTCAGCAGCAGCAGCATCCTCCTCCTTCTCCTCCTCCTCCTCCATCCCTCACGCGTGAGCAGATCCTGGAACCGATCTTCCCTGAGATCCGATGATGTAAAACGTCATCACGACCGGAGCCCCCGACCCACCATTCTTGCAATTTGTCGAGCCGCATCGACCTGTGAGGGTCTTGAGGCCCGGAGCCAAACGAAGGCGCCCGCCTCGGAGAATATCGAGACGCCAGGACCTCCGCGGCCCCGCTCGGCGTGGTCCCCTCGGGCCGTGCCCGCCTGCAGGGCGCCCTGTGGGCGCGGCGCTCGCGCTCTGCGGGCGGGCCACCGCCGCAGCGCCGAGCGCGCCGAGGGGCGAGCGCGCGCAGGGTTACCGCTCGTCGAGGCCCTTGCGAGGCGCGCCCAGCCAGGGCGACCATATGGGGGCACGGGCCCTGCGACGGGGCACCTGCACGCAGCCATGCACACCGCAGCGACTCAGAGGCTCTGCGGGGCGACGTTTGCTCCCCCCGAGGTCGGCGGAGGATGCCAACGACTGCGGCTCCAGGCCCCGCTCCGCTCGGGGCGCTGAGCGCTCCTCAGGGCTCGCGCCACACGGTGATTGGGCGATCTCGTGGGCGTCTTGATTTGGATTTCGTCTTGCAGCAGAGGCGGAGCGAAGACAGAACGAGGGAAAATGTTCGTTTTCTTATGCGCTGTTTTGCCGATCGGCGCGGGCCCTTGCACCCCCCCCATCCTAGAGTAGATCTTGGCCGTTTTTGGCGCCTCTTCCGAGCAGGTGGATACCCCCTCCGTAGGACGCATTGTTGCAGACAGTCGCATGAAGCAGAGGACCGGAGCCAGACACCCCCCCCTCCCCTGCCCCCTTCCGCGCAATGTCGAGACGCCGACGAAGAAGACGTTCACGCAAAACGAAACCAACACGCACACGCTCGAGCCCTGCTCGGCCGTGCCGGGGCGCCCCTCGTGGGCGCCCCGTGGGCCGCGCCATGGGCCGCTGCCTGCCGCGGGCGCTGCTTTTCGCGTGCTGCCTGCCGCGGGCGCGCCCCGATGCCGGCAGCTCCGCCGCCCCGCCCCTCGGGGAGAGGTGGTGGGCCGACTTACCACCACCACTGCCGTAGGTAGGACGGGGGAGAAGAGCGGATGGCGATGCCCCTCCTCCTCCTCCTCCTCCTCCTCCTCCTCCTCCTCCTCCTCCTCCTCCTCCCCCCTCCTCCTCCTCCTCCTCCTCCTCCTCCTCCTCCTCCTCCTCCTCCTCCTCCTCCTCCTCAGCCGCCGTTTCCTGCTCCAGCCATACTTTTCGTGGCCCAGCAGGCACTCCACGCAGAGCAGCTTCCGCCCTCAGGGCACCTTCATGTCATGCCAGCGCGGCTGGCCATCCATATTTCCTCTCTCGTGATCTTCTGGATGACATTCACGCGATGGGCCGTGTACAACCCCCTCAGCATGGTGGCGCCACTCAGAAGCATGGAGATTTCGCGACAGCTCGGTGCTGTGGACGTCGTCATGTTACCTGCGACAAGATGGCGGCAGCACGATACCGCCAGCGCCGTCGACCAGCTGCAGACGTACAAGCACCGCATCTACACCTGGGGGTACGGCCGCGGCCCATTCACCAACAGCCACGCGGGGGTCGCCATCATGGTCAGCAACAGGTTCCGAACCAAGGGCATCACAGAGCTGCCTAGCCCACCAGCGAACATACAAGGCCGTGCAGGAGCAGTGCACATTCGACGAGGAGCACTCGACATGACTTACATAGTCGCGTACCTGCCGCCGCATTCGGGCCTCGCCAAGCAGCACAACGCGTGGGTCAAGACAGTCAACGAGACGCTCAGACATATGTACGCATATCTTGTAAGCCCGTGCGTGCGCACTGCTAGTTTAGTGTGACCGTGTGTGCGGAAGCCGTCGGGTGTTGACAAGTAGCACCTGCACGTTTTCTGAAGCAGCTGAACGCCAGCCAAATCGTCCACTGCATGTTTCTTGTTGATGCAATGTTTGGAGCTTGTCACGGATCGTTTTGAACATTTTGAAGCAAGTTACCGGCAATTCGCTCGGCCTTTGTGTTTGACCAAGGGCCCCCGCGCCATGCGCCACGCGGACCGATAGAAAAAAAAGACAGTCAACGAGACGCTCAAGTGAACCAACAAGACGCTCAATGCGACGCCCACGAGAGGCACGCCCATCATCGGCCTCGACCTGAACGACCACTACGGCCAGGACGGAATGACCCCCGCCACGCCCAGCAACGTGATCGGCGACGCGGGCCCCACGGGAATCCCAGGAGAAGCTGCAGCAGCATTCCACAACATGCTCGACGTCCACGGCATGTGCATCTTGAACACTTTCTGGGACGCAGGCCCCACGTACTTCGGAGCACAAGGACAAGCTACACGTCCAGACTACATCGCAGTACCACAAGGACGACGGGCCCACATCATACCCTGCCGAGTCTGGTGGCGAGCTGCTAAAGCACTTCAGCTCATCAACGACCACCTCCCGCGCGATCACGCCCCGCTCATCGCAGCCGCCAACATCACCATCCCGAGCGCGTTCACCGAGCTGAAGAGGACCTCCTGGGACTACGACAAGATGGCGCATGCACTGCAGACGGGCAAGCACCGCAAGGACTTCACCACCGCGCTGGAAACGAGTTTCGGCCAGCACCAGGAGCAGCTACAGGACCTCGCCAGCGCCAACACCTCGGACGAGCATTGGGGGCTCATCATTCGCATCCTGCAGGAGACAGCCAAGCCCTTCTTCGAGCGCCAGCCGCGCAAGCCCGACAACAAGAGCTCATGGAGGAACGGCTTCGACTCCTACAAGCACGCGCTAAACTCAGGGAGGACTAC